TGATTCGGGCGGCGCACGGCGTACGAATGTCAAAGCAGACGACGATGTGCCGCGATGCCGTTCGCTGTTGACGCGTCAGGATACTCCACGTTGATCATCGCCGTTTTCGATTCGCTAAAGAATTTTTCTTTTGAATTATTAACGTCTAGCGCTCCAGCAAATTATCACGTACCTGAGTCATATCCGGTAGCGATGCCGGCTTTGGCTGTGGAGCAGCGGCGAACAGTCACCGCTGCCTTATATATGGGATGTTATGAGACTGCGTAGCCTCGTTAGACACATACATAGTTCATGGATTATGGAGTTCCTTCGCTCGACATGGCGGATTCGATTCTGATAACAGCTCTTACTGCAAATCGTCACCTTTTTGTTACCGAACAGCATTCCGGCATTTTTGCTTTTGCGTCCCGCCTTTCGTGTGTGATGTCACTTTAATAAATGACAGTGACGTCCCTCATTAGTTGGACAACATTCATACGTCCACAGTGCGTGGATCGGTATTAGTCACCGTAAATGAGAAACAAATGTCTGTTTGTATGAACGAAGTCTGCATGATCCTTGCTTCCGTTTACCAGCTCTTGATTCAGTGTAGCTTGTTCTTCTACGCAGCAGACAGATATTCCACACTGAAGCATGCAGCACTGCGAGCTACTGATCGGCGATGCTTTTGACGGTCAACGGAAAGTGGTTTGTTTGCCTGTTGTGTCTATTGTTCTGGGAGCTTGCAGCTGATTTTTTCATAGATTCCTCCCCGTACATTGTACGTATAGGGATTAGGACTAAAAATAGTAATCCGTACAATAATTCCCATTATCTGTATTGTAATGGCCTACAGGTGTTATGACATCCCTAGCTAGGGCTACTGTGAACACGCGAAGTCTGAAGACTCTTTTTCCAATGAACCGGCTCATCAGAAAAAATCCAAGGCCAATATAATCTCTACGTAACACCTGGTGCGGGTCGCCGTTTTGTCCGAAGTTCGGATCTGAGCATTCCTCTGCAGTAACCATAATAAACCTGCTCCGACTGCCTATAAATTTCATTCTAGTCTAGCTTAGGCAGTCTACAAGACTTTACCTGTCGATATTTTCGGTAAATGTGGGAATTCCTTATCGTGTAATTTCGTATCGTTCTAGCTGAATATACTCGTGTCTGTATTATATAATAAAATAGAGTATGTCGTAGAATATAATATAGATTAGCCGAACTGGAATAATTTGATATCCATTTAAAAAATAGCTGCATTTACAATACTTAACCGATGTGCGCTAATTTCTCTTACGCTACGTTTTAAGGTTATGACCTATGTCTTCCCAGACGCGCTGTCTGACAAATAGCAATATGTAAAACGTAGAACTGATAAGAACAAAAGGATGCTTGAGTTTCTAGTTCAGTGAAAAGGCACTTAGTGCTTATGTTCGAGCTTTTCTCGAAAATCACATCAGCTATAGTTTTTGATATAAAAAAGGCTTCATTATCAGCAAGCGTTTTAGATCGCGAGAATGGCCATAATTTCTCTTGGTCTCAAAAAATTCTACACCACTTCTCGACCTTTCTAAAAACGGAGTAGGAAGTGACTGAGCAAAATGTGGGTACCCTTTCATTATACGAATTTAGCATTTCGTAATCATTTTCGATGAACCCTATTATCTGTCAGAAGCTTTCTACTATGCTTAACCGACCGGACAAATCCGACAATGTCTGATTAGACCATTTATTGCTTTGTTCGTCAGTGTAATGCCCCCTAAGAATACAATGTTCCTGTTCATCATTACGGCGTATTCGTTTCTATAGTAGATACCATGGATTAATGCATTTCCTGAGCAAAACTTGGCAGAGACAACACGGAGGCAAATTTACAGATTTCTCTAGGTGTTATATATAAGCAGAGATTCTGTTCTGGCAGACATCAGCTGGTGAGATTCATACCAGATAATAAAGGTAACGTAGCGGTCCATGTGGTTGAAGCATTATATACTTCATTTCAATGATTTCGTTTACGTGTACTAATGCCTTGACAGATATCAAAATACTGAAACTGTGCTTAAAGTTAGCTAATAGTAATAGCTAACATTCGCTATTAACTGCCATTGTCTCATAGGCAAGTATAGAGCAACAAAATGAAGGCATGAAAAACTGCTGTTAGACCAATCTTTGGAACAATGCGTCTTGCACATACAAGGGAAAAAAGCATCCGTTGTTGAGGTCGCGTTCGATAATACTTGATAAGCTCCACAAGGTCGAAATCATATTTAGACGATGAAAATTAGATAAGTACTCTTGGGTACGTCGTACCTTTTAGAACCGTTAGATGCGTCTCTAAGGTTATACCGTCACGATATACCTGAACCTTTGTGAGCACTAAAAACTTAGCCCTGTTTGCGGCTTACGTAGCTTTCTCTATGCAAACGATCACGAGTTTGGTCCGCCAACCAATGTCGAATCTTTGATAAAGTTGACACAGAATATGTGTTTGTCTTGAATCTCTTGTTGATGATAAATAAGTATTTTACTTCTATTAGTTCAAACGTTCGATGAAGCTAGCTTTGGATTTATACAATAGTTTATTGTGTAGACTTTAGACTTATAAAAGCTAGCTATAATAATAATAGAAAAATTACGTTTGATAGATTAAATCCTCTGTGTTTCGAGTTCTACGTCATTAGACATTCCATCAGAGAGAAAACTGGTTCACGGCACGAAACGAACCGTATGTCTATCTAAACACGGGTTCGAATTTAGACCATATCCTTAAAGTTGAACCCTACTACGATACAACCAAAGCTAACTAGAAAATGTGTAATTACATATAGTAAGCTATATTACTTACAATTCTCCTGCCATTACTGCTACACTTTCCATGTACATATAGAAACCCCAAGGACCTCGAAGGCAAGTTAGATCTATGTTTTAATATAAAGATGAACGAGAATCAACGTAACATTGAAACAACCTTCTTCCCAAATTAATAATTAATATTATTGAAAAAGGGCGTTCTCGTTTACGTTCAGGTGAGTCAATTCACAGAAAATTCATCTTGAAAGACTTTGAGCTACTCCCAAACTCGAAGCCAAGCTAAGCCCCAGTGCGAGGCAGCAACGCTCGTATGGGCTCGCATAGAATCTGAATTCGCTATGAAAATCTAGATAGTTAATGACGCCTGTTTTATTGGGTTTTGTCATCACCACCATCATCCTCGTGTTTATTATATCACACTACGACCTGGTATGTGATTCATTAAATGCCTATCCTTCTAACAACTACCGAAGGCATATAGCTTCTACCCAGCTCACACCCCTTACTTGTCCCAGGACCCCTAGTATATTATAAACGCTGCCAAGAGGTAAAGAAGCAAGAATCTAGATATCTGGAAAGTAACAAACCCAGTTGCAAAGCCGACGTTGGTATATATTTAACTTTTTTCTAGCAGTTTTCGTCTGCTGTATTGGCGCTGTATATCCTAGCATTTACTCTGCTGATGGCAGATTTTTCTTTATTAGTAACGCATTATTTTTCTTACTAATATTAATAGTTTTTTTTTAACTAATTTCTTTACAGTTTATTCCTGCGCCCTCTTCTCATGCCAACTGTTAACTCACCTCTATTTACTCGCTGTCACAGAATGAATTTAAGCATATACAACAGAACAGCTCTCTTTGTCACATTTATATACAATTTGTTGTTGTTGTTGTTGTTGTTGTTGTTGTTGTTGTTGTTAGCAAGTGTGTTTCTCCTCATTCATTGTTGGTATACAATTATTGTTTCTGCTACCATTTTTTTGTCACTGTTATTGTTATTATTTTCGTAGCTAATATTGTTAGAACGGCCGACTCGTGTCCTGAGTACACGTAGTTTTGTTGCTGTCGTCATCATGGTTCATTATTAACGTACCTATCTAATGCACACAACGTACAATCTACATTTACAAAAATCTACACGAAATGGACAACATACGACAATTCTAAGCTTTTTTTTTGCAATTACTGAGCTTTGCTTTGGATAGAGGCCATTGTTACTTGTCGTGTTATTGGTAGTGTTTTCGTTATTTGTTATATAGTCTGTGCCAAGCGGTAGCAGACAATGATTTCTGGTTGGCGTCACAATGAAACTGATCTAGCGCGGTTTTTCTTCTTCTAAAAAAAAGTTAATTAACATTATCGACCTAGCTAACTTTAAATTCTGGCTCAGCTGCTAATGGTCCTATAGCTCCAGTGTATACAGTAGAAAAGGCGTCATCATTCTAATGGCACCGCAGAATCTTTATAGGACATAACGACTAGCACAAACGTGATCGGAGGAACTTGTTAATCAACATAGGAATAATCATAATAATTGAACACTATGCGATGATAACCAAAATATACGTTCTTTTACACATGTTGTTTGTATACACACAAGCACAAATTTGGATGTCAAATGAAATTAGTTACACTTCCGGGCCACGCTAAATTCTTTTGTCCTTCACCAGCCCAAAGGCCAATTGTTGTCCGTGTTCCTCTAAGCCCATCCTATTTTCAAAGGGAATACGCTGATCGAAACGCTTAGCTGTGGGAGGATTATTTTAGCTGCTGAGTCAACTTGCTTATTACTTTCAACACACAGACGATAATAAGTTAACAATGATTTAACATCTTCAAATTCGAAAACTTTTGGCGAACAGGTTAATTTCGAAACCAAAATGGACGGCGACGCACATCTCAACATATATGACAACCGTAGCGATAATAAGAATTAGTACTATTATTTTTATTATTATTATTATTATAGTAGTTTTTTCCGTCTGTCGGGGTTTATATAGTTTGGAAATATCGCTACTTTCACATCTCACTGAAAAGGTGTTTACACGTTTGAGCGCGATATTCGCTCTCTAAATGTTGGAGATGCCAAATATCATGTCCACCATAGAATTTACGCAGACGCTTTACGTCTGCATTTTGCGCTTATCAGTCAATCGATGCTTTAGCTACCGCACTTGGAATACATAATAATGACAATAATAATAATAAACATATTATCTTTACTTGCTTCATCTAAGTATTTTTATCACTGACGCACGCCTCTTGTGGCAAACGTATCGCACATGGGGTTGCACGATTTACCCCTTTTAGAGTGTCCACTATAAAATGTCACTTTTGAAGTGAAAAAAGGTCATGAATATTTCCGTCGAGTCGACGACGTACACGCATCCGCTCGATCCGTGTGTTTTTCTTCCCAAAAAAAATCGACAATCTAAATTTTCACTTTACGTTGCTGAATCTAAATAGACTATCCAGCGTTTATTCATTTAATTTTATAATCTACATACGACTCACAGAAGTGGGCCAGTTGTTTTCTTCTTGACATTTCCAGCTGCGGGACATTGTTCTATTGCCCATAATGTTTGCTTCCCGGTATCACACTTTCCAAATACATTTCGCTCCCTCCGACTTTTCTGACTATTTACCTATCATTGTCCTCCTTATTAATTAGCATTTAAACTGAGGGATAGTAGTGCTTACATATTTGATTCAGTTGTCCGGACTGATCTGGGTGGACCTGATTCGTCTTATGAAATTGCTACTTGCTTCAGAAACATATTAAATGGATAAGATAATAGATATTGATACATATATGTGATATGTCAATGCGCAATTAATCTACAGGTCAGCCCTGTCGAAGAACAGCCAATGTAGAAGCAGCGGAGCACCATTTAACACAATGCCTAAAACCACTTTTCCATGCAAACCGGCCTTATAAGATCAAGTCAGGTCAGAGTATCAGTACTCATGTGTTATCTACGATTTGTTGTGAATTAGAGATATTTTTGTCGGCCTTTTGTTGGCTTGAAATTATATTTATGTATATACGCATATATGCGCTTTAGTGTATGTACGCATTTGATACTGTTAATACAGCGTAGGTATTTACATTCTACCGGGTCAATCAATCAATCAATTAGGCCCCCTCTTGTTTCTTGCATACCCCACCGATAGTAGCAACTATCATCAACGTCATTAATTTAATATGTTTTATCTTATCATTATTACCGTCTCATCATCGTATTGAGGTAGCCATAAGCGGCAGTACCATACAGATTCGGCTGCGACGAAGACGTTGCGGAGGCGGCAGCTGCCGCTGCCGCTGCAGCGGCGGCCGGCCCGTACTGGGCGGCGGCGGCGGCGGCGGCGGCGGCGGCAGCGGGGCTGTTGTGTGGATGTCCGCCGTGATGGTACCCAGCCACCCCACCACCATGATGGTGATGAGCGTGTTGATGGTGAGGTGGTTGATGGTGTGGGCTGTGAGATGGATGATGGTGTGCCTGTTGAACGGACGAATGAGGGTGATGCGAATGATGGTGTTGTTGCTGTTGATGGTACCAATATGCAGCGGCGGCAGCGCTCGCAGCGCTTGGAGTTCCTACCCCTTGGCCTCCGGGTACAGCAGCGTTTGTCGGTGTTCCATAATACATTGAGTGATGTGTTGGAGGTGGCGTATGTCCGTGGGGAGGCGGCCCAGCCCCAGCAGGGCTGAGTTGACCAGCAGCAACACTGGGTGGCTGATGTGGATGGGGACCGCCTTGAGATGTCACATGCCCTCCAGTTCCACTTCCCGATCCACCAGAACTACTATTTGCATGAGGATGTGAGGTACCAGTGCCTCCATGATCTATCCCTGCCGTTAGCTGATGCAGCTTCCCCAGGGCAGGCGATGATATGGCCGGGGTCACACGTCCTGAGCCTGAACCTGGCCTTCCAGGGCCACTTCCTCCGTTACCGGCTGCTATCTGCGGATGTTGATGATGCTGCTGCTGCTGCTGTTGCTGCTGTTGATGATGATGGTAGGCGAGCCATTCACGCTGTTGTTGTTGGTGTGCTAAGTGCGCGAGCTGTTGGTGCTGTTGTTCGTAGAGGGTCTGAGCTGCAGCTGCTGCGGCCACTGCCACATTATTCAGATGCTGATGAGTATGGGGATAACCAAACGCCGGCGAGCCAAGAGTCCCAATATGACCACTGGTAGTTACTGCGGGATAAAGAGAGTGATCCTTCACATCAGCTCCAGCGCCGTAAATATGGGCGGAACGTGGCGCAGGCGGATGGCTTGGGGTATGCTGTTCTGGATGAGGAGGTGCGACAACGAGGGTCTTGCAATTACTAACCTGTGGTGGGGGGGTTGTACGCTCGTCGGGCTGAAGTAAAGCTCCTTCGGTGATTGCAAGCATCGCTTCCTTAATCGACGACGATACGGGACCGGTAATTGCCGGGCTGGCCAGTGGGGGAAGCAAGCTATCTGCGCCTGAACTTACCGATGATGTAGAATGCGTACTGAGGGAGGGTGTCACCGAAGGGGGTGCCGAGACAATCGGTGATAGGGAACGCTCGACTGACGGTATCGTCTCACTACTGGCTGGGGTTCTCGGTGGAGTTGGCACAGCCATTTCCACCGTGCGATGATGATTTTCGCTTACAGTCGCCGTAGCAGGCCGCAGTTGGTCATCGCTGGTTTTTGTGATTCGCTCATTTCCTCCATCTGCGTTAATACTTTTTTCCAGTTTATGACTTCCCACACGATTCATCAGTTCGTCCGGATTCTTGTCCTTATCTGTCTCTGTGATTTTTTTCTCAGGGGCTTGACCTTGTATACGGCCATTGACATATGGGGTTTGCAGAGATTCATTATTGTCGGACGGCAAATTATCTGTGCCGTTGTTCTGTTTGACTATATCTTTCGACTTTACACTACTATCGTCAGTTTGGTTTTGTCGCTGTGCTTCTTCACTCTCTTTAAAATGATCTCGACGGACATCATTGTCCACTTTCGAGTCACGTCGATCCTCACTGTGCGTAGTCCTTATCGAATTACTATGATCTATGACGGTGCCCGTAAAATCTGAGCGGGTTTGTTTCTGTTCTTGATGATCGAGATTATGATGAGAATCCTGTGGAGCAGCATCAGTAGCTTTCGGGTCTTTTGTAATCTCCTTCTGATTGTTATGTACTGATGCTGATCTTTTTCCACCCCGTTCATCCATTTTCATTGGATCGGCCTGGGACCTACCATTGTTCGGATGAACAGTTTGCTGCTGTTGCTTCTCCGTGAGAGCCTCTATTGTCGTTGCCGTTGTGGCTGATTGAGGACTTAGCGAACCCCTACAAGATAAACGTTTATCTATTATTTGTTGCTCGTCGCCTTAGAAAAAACTATTAAACGGGGTGTCGACTGAAATTTTCTTACAAAAAGAAACACAGAATCGCATGTTTTCAACACTGCATCTATATCGGACAACATAAAAAAAATCCCAAGCCTATTTATGCTATCTGCGCAATAGATGTTTCAAAAATAAGGTATTACCTGTAGTCCTTTTTTGGTGGTCTGCTCCGTTTTCGCTGGGGAGGCTCCTCGACTTCGTCTTTGTTAGCCACGCCGTTCGGGGCATTACTATTGGGTTGTTTATCACGACAATCACTTTCAAAGGTCGCAACCTGCAACCGTTGTTGTTGTTTTTGTTCCTGATGTTGCTGCTGCTGTTGTTGTTGTTCCTGTTGTTGCTGTTCCTGCTGTTCTTTTTGTTGTGGTAGTTGTTGTTGTTCGTGTTGTTCCTGTTGTTGTTCTTGTTCCTGTTGTTGTTGCCGCTGTTGTTGTTGTTGTTCCTGCTGTTGTTGTTCCTGTTGTTGTTTTTGTTGGTGCTCTTGTTCCTCTTGCTGTTGTTGTTGTTTACGTTGTTGTTGTTTTTGTGATTGTTGTTGTTGTTCCTGTTGCTGACTTTGTTGTTTTTGTTGTTGCTGTTGTTGTTGTTGTTGATGTTGTTGTTGTTGTTGTTGCTGTTGTTGTTGTTGTTCCTGTTGCCGATGTTTTTGTTTTTGTTGTTCCTGCTGCTGATGTTGTTGTTTTTGCTCCTGTTGCTGACGTTGTTGTTGTTCCTTCTGTTGTAGTTCCTGCTGTTGTTGTTGCTGCTTTTGTTGTTGTTCCTGTTGTTGTTGTTGTTGTTGCCGCTGTTGTTGCTGTTGTTGTTTCGGTTTTTGTTCGGAATTGTCGTTTTCCGTTTTAACGGCGAGCATTGACACTACGCCAGCTTTGCTTTTGCTAGTTCCATTTTTGCTTCTAGGCTCACTGATACCCTGCTGTTCGTTTAACGAAGCCGAGATCCCCTCCCCAGCTGGACGAAAACCCGTACCAGGACTATGACTGGCGGCGTTATACTGTGTAAGTGCTTGCTTTTCACAAATCGTTATCTGCAATAACGTCGCCGCTGATGGTAATTCTTCACTGGCTGTAGGCCGATTTTCGACCGGTTGAGCTCTTCGAGGGTCATCATCGTTTTTCGCCACTGTCGCCGCCATTGCCGATGATTGACTAAGTTCGCCATCAGCTGTTTCTATAGAGACTTCAGGGGGCAGTTCTAGTGACTGCCGCGTCCGTCGGCCGATGCTGGCAGCTCGCGAACGGGGCTGTTCCAAAATGTCCTGTAATTTTCAACGAACATCTTCTTGAACTCGCTCTAGCTAAATATAATGCTCAGGTAATTTGATAATCTCATTATAAAACTTACACTATCTAAATGTACTTTGTAGCATTCAATATGGTGAAAAGAATTGTATATGTTAGCGAAGTCGTCTACTTGCTTTATTCACAGGTGGAACGCCATCTGTGCTCTTCTTCCTTTGTGTTTCTTCAAGCATTCTCCTACGACTCTTTTTCGGTGGTAAACATACAGGTTTTTCGCCCGAGGGTCTTCTTTCCGGCTGTACACTAGACAAATCCCCGACCAAACCAGGTGAACTAGGTTCATCTGTGCCCTGTTCGCTAGGCCGGCCTGTCGACAGCGACGTTTGCTGCAGCGCAACGCTGATCGTGGTACTACTTCCGTCGGTGAGTGTTTCGGTGTCCTCTGATGCTGCCTTCCAGCTTTCACTTCCTTCGGCAGCTTTCGGAATTTTCGGTGATTCGCGGGGTCGAAGCGGTGTAGACGTCAATGGAGTTGTTTTTCCCACCCACACGGCTTCGAGCTGTTGCTGCTGTTGTTGATCATGGCCGCGCTGATCTTTAGGATTGTCGCAGTTGTCCTTCTGGAGTCCCTTGGGCGAGGGCACGACGAAAGAGGATATCAAGGTCTGTCTGGCCGTGCCGCCACTGTCTGCGGCTTTACCTGTCGTATTACCATTAAGAACAAAGAAGAACATAAACAAGTAGCATATAAACACTGCTAAAGCGAGCTAAAAAATATAAAGATTTAAAAGGCTTTGTCTATCAAGCAAGAAGCAAGAACTTCGTCCGCTACCTGTCATTTCACATACAAACAATAAAGAAAAACAAAACACACATAGAAAAATGCCGAATAGCCAATTATCCATGCAAAAGAAATAATAGATACCGATATGTATTTCATATATTCAATATAAACCATTGTCCAACATCTGCACTCCATAAAACGAGTTCAAAAAGTTGTGTAAATTACTACTGGGCAAGCAAAACGTCACTTCACTATGTTTATTAAAACTTGTCACAAGATCGTGTGGCAAGAGACTAACCATTTGTTGATCTGCTTGGAGTGATGGCTCCTGTCGTTGTTGCCGTTGTTATCGTCGTTGTTGTAGCAGGCAGCTCCGATTTTTCTTCGGCTCCTCCGCAGTCCTGTCTTCTTCTTCGTACCCCGGATAACATCATTGTTGTTGTTGCTGCTGCCACCGGAGTTGTTGCGGTTGTTGCTGCAACAGCTGCTGATGTTATTGTTGACGATGCTACAGTTACAGTGTCATCTTGCAGGCGGCCTGGGGCGCCCCCGGTGCGCACCGGACCTTGAACACCCTCGGCTACAGCGGTCACCGGAGTGGATGAACTTTGCGTCGTGGGGGCGCGTTGTGCCGCCTGCATGGCGGCCGCCAGAGGTCTCCTCCGTCTTCTTTTCGCCGTGCGCATCATAACGTGAATCTTCTTTTTTGTCTTATTCGTATTAGCAGAGCTTGGCGGTCGTCGGATGACCGTTGGCTTACGACTGACTTCAGTGCTTCCATCTTCTCGCCCGCCGTCGATATCACCACCTGCTGCTGTCATAACTTCTGATTCTGGCTCCGTTTCCATTTCAACAGAACAATCAACTACTTTGCCTCCGGTAGAAGTCGCTAGCGAACTTTCGATTGGTGTTTCCAAGACTGTATTATTCAGCTGCGATCGTCCGGTATTGTTTTTGCTAAAATTGTTAGGACCAAAAACACGAAACAACCGTTAATCGAAACACCTTTGTCATGGCGAATCGCGGATCTTGCGGCGTTTTTACTATCAATCGAGATGAAATACCGATCTGGTGTCCTGTCTTGAGGCTAGAACGAAAGATAAACGGAGTGCTATCTAGCAAATTTTTTATATCAAGGTAAAGCCTCTCGGCATCTGATTCCCTCACCCCTAGATGCCCGTTGTGTAAAATTACTAATTCACCATCATTTATTTATTCATCATTCATATTTTCTGATTCATCATCATTCATCTATTATATGGAGAACATTTTTCTTACGTACACGCTAAAAAAAAAAACAGTTTCATCAGTGCGCTTAAATTGTTGCTTTACCTTTACGAATATTTTTTATAGAGATATAATACGTGTTACATGCTTAGTAGCGTCTAGCTTAGTAACTGTTTCGGTAATTTGATGCAGATGTTTGGCTTTGACCTACAAAGAAACTTAAGTCAACCTACCAAGGTCGCTTTCTAGGCCTGTCCGGAGGTGATGCGGATCCATCGTTAATACGTCGCTTCTTGCTTCGACCAGCCGTGCGTTCAGTCTCCTGTTTCACTTCTACTTTATCCTCCGTGAGGATTTCAGGACTTCCGGGGACCTCTTGAACAGTGTCCTCCTCGCCGACTCCATCATATCCAATACCCATCGAATCCTCAGCCGAATCCCCACTCATGTGTTGATCTCTTTCATCTGGAAAAACCCATATAATATACAATGTTAAATCATGCCCAACAGTTGAATACACTTATTTTAATATGCTAGGGTTGACTCCAGCAACGGGCTTATCCTAGCCAAGATACCTGTATATAGAATTGTAATAAAATTTATTTAAATTACGGAACAGAATATAGTATATGCGCAATGGTGCGAATTTTTAATCCCCTCACAAAAAAAATTAGACGCCTCTTGTATAGAAGCATCTCAAACTAATGGAAAACAAAGATATATCGACCGACTTTGACCGAAACAATACAATCGCACATGGTCCTCATTGTCGTTCTTTCATGTTTTTCAGTCGATTTTTCGAAATGAATATCGCGATAATAATAACCATTGTGCGCCTGGTGTGTGTGTCGTCCTGATAGGACTGTGAGAGAATTGTTTTTTCGTAGATGTTTCCCCCTGGTCGGTGCGGACCCCTCCTCCCATCTTGGCGTCGCTAGCCGATCATAATGATGACGGCTGCCCGAGTCTTCCTCGCTGGTCGTGGCGTCTTCGGCCGCGAGAACGGGCGGCTCCTGCTCGCGCATTTGTGGGCGCCGTTTGCGGGAACCGGCCGAACTACTGCCGGTTGCAGACAGCCCTGATCGGTGAGGTCGACCTCGAGCTATTGACCATTAGTGTCAGGGTACACGCATAAGGAAAGAGAAAGAAGTTAGCAAGCAAATTCAACTGCTGATTTTCCGCATGCTACCTACTGACTTTCATGGGTACGGAACATTAAACGAGGACAGCGTTTAGAAAATTAGAAGACGTGTTCATCAACTAACGTTTAGGCGCAAGCTGTTGCTGTTTTGGTTGAAACAATCCCTTATGGGACAAATGTGCCGAAGATACGTCGCCATCCATTCCGCCTCGGTCTGAGTCGACTTCAAGATACGTAGGCTCGTCTTTCACGTCACGCTGTTGCGAGACGTTGTCTTGGAACCTACGATCTCGTCGAGGAGTCGTACGTGACTTCCTGGATCGTTCCTTCTTGCGTTGAGGTTTTGTGACTGAAGGAGACGAATCTCTCGTCGCACGGTCAGCTTGATCGGTTGTCTCATCATCCTCTTGAGGGACCACGTCCGTTTCCTTTGTGAAAAATATAATCAGGAATTACTATTTTTATCATTTGAAGACGATCGCAATCAGCAACACCATAATCTTGAATAGATGTTAACAGGTGTAGTCGCTCTCGGTAATATCGAGAACATCGTTTGCTCAGATACATTTGCGAAAAGCAGGAACGAGAAACAAATATTGAAACCAAAAGGCTTATGCGACAAAGTGTATATACGTAACGATACTCATGTACAGCTTTTGCATCGGAACTTACCTCGCAGCTGAGCGGGTCTTCTACTTTTATGTCGCTATTTTTTCTAGCACCACCATCACCGCTCCGCCGGGACTGACGCCCAGTACCGCTGCTTCTTGATGCGCTTTTCACATCGGGACTACTACTTGTATTGGAAGGGTCATCATCGACCGATTCCTGGTTAGGGGTGGATCATCGGTAGGTAGACAAAAGAAAACAGTCAAACTGATTTCTATGAGAAATCATATGCGGTAAAGCTAGCCAAATTCATTCACTCTATTAGTATGCTATGTGCATTATACTAATGGTTCCTCTACTCTTCTGACATAAAGTACAATATATAATAAAAGTTCAGCTTGACTTACGTCTCGTGAATTATCGAGATACTGTTGTGCCAAAGGCGATGGAGCCCATTGCAAGCATTCGGGGTGAAGCGGAAGGCGGAATTGCTTTTTTGCTTCAAGCCTTAATTTTACACAACAAAGAAAAATAACTGTTAGAAGCGTAAAGATATGTGGATGTTATTGACACAATTAAGAATACCTAGCGTAATTGCTTTGATTAGTTCTGCACTATCTTAGGTTCGAATCACAAACGGAGAAGTGTTAGGAAAGAACAGGCTATATCAGTGATAACACAGGTAATGAGCTTGATCAAAGCCATACATTATTATGGTCAAGTCAGTGTCTTACTTTTGCATGTAGTTAAGGATCACATCTGAATTAATATCAAGGTAGAATTTTCTCCTTTCCCACGAAGTTCGATCTTCGCGGATCATGCCGAGAAGGACAAGTGTGGCTGCGATGTCGTGCACGTTCAGACCTGTGTCTTGGGAAATCTGCATAATAATGATACAATATTATCCTTAATGCAAGCGTATATAGTTCACATATACCTTAACAAAACAGTGAGGAAGTAAAAAAAAAATAATTGAACCTGTTTCACCCTTTTCAAGAAGTTTTTCCTTGCTTAAATTACAGTGCTTAGTACGGCAGTCCAACAGACCTATAGAAGCACCGGATTCCTCCATGAATTTAGTGGAGTAGATCTTTACACTAGAGGACGTCCGCGCAGACTTAGACTTGGATAGAAGTATAGTTACTCGAAAGAAGAGGTTTTACATGTACGCATTCGTTAGCCCGCCGTAAGCACCTGGTGGTCGCACGAAGCCAACTTAGTAACGCCGAAAACTACGTCATGGTAAATTTTGTTTTGTATTGTTTCGGATTGTAAAGAAAAACATTACTAATTTTATAGTTGCAAAAGCGGTTTAGTTCAGAAAAGGATTCTTCTGTTCAGTTATGTTGTTGAGATCTGCTCTACAACATACTAGCAGGTAGAAAAAAGATGCTGAAAATTCTTTAAGATGAGAAAAATAAACGATATCTCGAACGAGCAAGCAGGAATACAATGAACCGTACCTTTATTCGCCCTTCGGCTTTTGATGGCTTACAATTAGCGGCATATTTACGAATCGCGAAATTCATTTAAAAAAGGAGGGAAAATGGTTTTAGTGCATACCTTTGCAATGGTGATAGAACGGTTTTTCTGAATGAAAATCTCCTGATGCAGATACTCAAGTAGCGTACTCTTCCAGTACGCCTGGTAAGACACCCGGCCCAGATCTGACAGGGGCTTCTCCGGCGTACCCGCCAAACCTACGACACAATTGAGTTGAAGTCAATACACTTCCCTGGGAACTCCTCACGTGAATCTCTTCACAGACGCTAAGCGATAAAATATTTTGTAAGCATAAACAGCCTAAAACTAGTTTCACTAAAGGCGAGCAGGTAAAGCTTATCTAATAGTTGAAGACGGACGAAAAAGGACATTACCTTCTGTACGACTTAGCAGGTAGCTAAAGTCAATGAGGAACCTTCCATATCCTTTTCGCTGATACTGAGGCATCGTCATGATACATGACACGTTGTATCTGCGAACACAGCAGATGCTCTCCTTTAGATTTTGCTCTTGCTTCGTATTGAATAAAAGGCTCTAACTGTCCAATGCCTGACATTTTTACGTTTATTACAAATAGCTCATCCGATACGGATTATTCTAGGGAGTGCTACTAACTATTAAAGAATAACCAATTAAAGCGCATATTACTGACCTTTGCGCGCAATGTTTTTCCTTTGAAAAGTAACCAACGAGATGGGCGCCTTTTTTGTCCCACGCTGTTAGCACGTAGAACAAGAACGGTTCCACATCGTAATAAAGCGTCTTATGATCTAGGAACAGCTTCGCCAACAGACACAACTAGAACCAAACGAGACAATTTAGGTATTTTTAGGAACTTCGGGTCTTCATGCAGGCTTGCACAGCTTAATGATGGAACGTTGATCTACGCCTGATGTAGGTTTGGAGATAAAAATTCGTTCACGATTATCATCTCTATACAAAACCAATTAGTTATCGACTACATATTCGGAACATAGCTTTAATCCACCTAACAAGTTCGTACCTACGCGTACATACCTGCTGGCAGTAGATCTTGTTGGCGTGGCCGTCCACCTCGAAGACGGAAATTTCCTCGTGTCGATAAATTTCGGTACCTGGCGGATGTCGCAAAGGACATTTGCGCTGGAAATAAATAAAAAATACGTATATAAAAAAATATTAGGTGAACTATATTAGGTGGCTATTGTGCTATAATAGTGGAGAAAATGGATCCTAGCAAAAGTGCGAAAAAAAAAAAATTAAATACGTACCAGATGCCGTCTAAGTGTTTCTCCGCTTTTGCAATACTTAAGACAAAATTCGCAGAGGAAAAGCTTAGGAAGTCGTGCATACTCCTGAGGGTAGGGTGACGAATACCAGGTGTCTATACAATAGCGGCCAAACTGGATCGAACCAGGACAGCTGCGAAGCGTAATACCAACAAATAAAAAGTTAAACGCCACTCCGGTAATCTAAATGCAAACGACAAATTTGTCTAACCTATGTTACATATTTCATAATTTACATAATTCATTCTCACTTTTCTAAATATATGTGTTAAAGCAATCTTTGATTTTCCAATACAGATACTATATTTAGTTATAGTTACCAACAAGAAGATTGATTGGTATGCAATTATCAACCACAAGACTGAAGCCAAATAATTTCCAAAATAACGTTAAGTGATAGTACAATGGAATGAATCCGACATGTAAATGTAAAACGAACCGTTGGGAGGGGTCAAGGAGATCCACGCCAATCTTCTCTTGAGCGAGTTCTTGCGCTTGGCGAAAAAGCTCGATATCTTGAGGCTGACAGCCCGGGGGCAATACAACCGGTTGCTGTGACAAACGTAAATCAGAATTATTTACGTGCGTATTTATTGCGAAGATCTTTAAATAAATCTAGGTAATAAGTGTCATAATATACTATACGATTCAAGCAACACTAGATTTAAACTCTGAATACTTAGGTATTTTCAAAGCTTTTTTTATACAGAAAGGATTAGTGCAACCCCAAAGTTAGCTATGCAGAAGCAGGAGTCGATAGGCTAGCCTCATCACACAGTGAAAAGAGATTGCTTTAACGAAAAGGCAAGTAGGAAATTCTAATAAGACTTACATCCTGCATAAGCTGCTCGACGCTATCTTCTGACGTCAGCGAGTGGTCCGTCGAAGCAGTTGATCCACACTCCGATGAAATCGATACGGCTGTAAATACAGACATAAAGGCGTTTTCAGAAATTTCTGCTGCGCGAAATATATCGGTTTATATTTGCACAGTAAATAACATAACGTACAGACATGTCTAAAAAAAACTTCAGCATAAAAAAAACTTTGTACAACGTATAAACCAAATTGAACAAGCAAATTTCAGGCAACGGTTCATTCTTGTCGATGACGATCTACGACGTTTGTGTTGCTGTAGCTTCTGCTGCTACAATTCTACACAGGCACACAACGTATCATTTTCAGATGAGGAAAAAAGAAAAAAGATAAAACAAGCGCATCAAAATAAAAACAAGAAAGAATTAAACGGCTGCATTTGCTCGAAGGGCCCCCACGACCTGATCTGATTAACACTTCTCGAAGCACAAGTCGGAAGACGCACTGCAGGCAGAGTGCTAGGTAGCTATGTATTTTACGGGAAAGGCAAGACTGACAGACCAGGCGAGAACTAAAGGGGACGCAATAAGTGTGCTGCTGCTTATGGTGGTGTCGAAGAAGCCGAAGAATGCAACAGTGAACTCGATGCTCTGCGTATGCCCACATAATCAATTGATTGTCAGTCGCTCTCGACCAGTGGCGCTTTATTACTGTTTCCAGCAAAAATCGAGTATAAACGTTGATGATTGTTATGACGATTCTCGCGAGTGTCGACGCGCAATCCGTACTTCGCTCTTCATCACTTCATTAGTATGATTATTCAGCCACAGTAGGAAACGCAAATGAAGAGAGGGATAAACGGAAAATCGAATCAAGGATGGACGAATTAACGAACGGGGGCGGGAGATGGAGAAGAAGCGCACAGTGCAGGAAATAAATGAGCGGGCTGTGGTCTTGACGCCGGGGCATTCATTGTAGGTGGTGATGGTAATGGTTTGAGTGGTAGACAGAGATGAATCGGTAACGTATTTTTCTTTGTGTGCTATCTCCACCTAAACCAGATCAGTAGATAGTCAGCTATTCCTGCACGATTGCAGACAGCTAACGACACCGATCATTATCACCGACCGGCGGCATCCAGGCGGCGGGTCGAGCAGGCGAGTTTTCGAGCCAACAAACGACCTTTGCTTTACAAGCCAACGGGCGAACGAACGCAACGGCAAAACATAACGCAAAATAGCAGCATGGCTACTGCAGCTGTACAGATTAATCCGCAGTGATTACGGAGGAGGAGAACAGATGTGAAGGAAACGAAGATGTGACGGAGCCTCGTGCTGGCATTAGCAGCAGCGGGCAACGCGAGAAGCAACGACGACAAAAAAAAACGCCGAACGATGACAAAAACTGATCTTCAGGCCGCAAGGGTACTCTAAATACAGCAGTCACAGGGTGATGGTCTCCGATAAGGTGGTGACTCGGATATATGGTACAAGTTGAACGCGTAAATAATTGTTATGTGTGGAAGGTGTAATGCTACACATTTTTAAATAATAACCCGATGCGGTAATAGTTGCACTTGTTCTAGGTTATGTCACTATAATTTCAAACATAATAAAGCAAGTCGAAGAATATTCACATATACACTCTCCTAAAAGCGCTTTCGGTGCTCGAATCACCACCTCAGCGGAATAGCGGAAGGGAAAACGAGATGTATCCGCAACAGTTGAGGAAGGGCTGAAAAGAAGGTGAAGGACTTTTCTCAAACAAAACGGTGACTCCTCTTAAAGGATTAAATTACCCTTCTGTAAGCGAGCCGCTGAAGCTTTGCTCTGAACTTTCTTCTTGTTGTTATTGTTTCCTTTGCGCGGCTCGTCGCCAGAGCTTACGCCATTATCGGCGTATTCCACTGGTTCAACCATCTTGGCATGCTTAGTATTTTTCTCATTACCCATTCGCTTTCCTAGCGATTTTTTACCGGAACTGTTTTCACTGGCTTTCTTCTTATATTTGTTGTTAGAAGAAGATCTTTTAGTAGATGCAGGAATTTCAGGATCTCTGGCCTTTTTAGGCCTTATTCGACGGCACTCCCATGCTTTATGATTATGGTTGTTGGCTATTACCATCTGTTCCGCTACCTGTCTCTGTGCAGTGCTGCTGCTGCTGCTGCTGCTTTTATCACTGGTTTTTGCCCGCTTCGCCTTCACCTTAAATTTTTCGTTTGTTTCGGCTTTAATTTCACCGCACAGTTCACCCGCATCGATATCTCCGCCGGTGGCGCTCCCGCTATCGGTAGCTGACGACACCGACGTTTCTTGGTCGTCGTCGTTGTTTTCATCCTGGTCCTCATCTATGCCCACTAATGAGCTCTCAGCCGATTCGTATCTATCATTGTGATTACCCCCAAAATCAGCCAGTGGAACGGCTGGCTTTACAAGGACAGGGTCATCTTCTTTGAAATCTTTCTTCTGCTCTACGTCATGTTCGCCACCTGATTGTTTTGAATTCCTGATATCTTTCTGTTGTTGAGTGGCAATCGCATTGGCATTTGCCCTAACTTTCACTCGCGTGGGTTTGACCACCTCGTGACTATGGGCTTTGGTCATATAGGAATCGTGGTGAATAACTTTTTTTACGTCGTCACCACTATGGCCCTCAACCTTTTCGGTGTCACCTTTGCAGCCATCTTCATCGCCACTGACCTTGCGCCGCTTTGGCGGTTTACGCTTGTCAGTTGGCGTAAAGAACTTGGAAAGGCCGTCACTGAGTTCAACAGTGAGTTTTAAGGGGCCCTTCTTTTTCAGGCTAACCTCTGAGCAATCGCAATTGCTAGTCCCATTGGCCGTAGTACAATTGACTGATGTCGATGGTGCGCAAAAAATGTCAGCTTCAATCGAGACTGAATTCATAGCACTCCTCAGAATAGTTAAACTCTTAGGCGGCATGGACTTCCTAAACTTCAAGGCCTGCCAGTGGCTTTTGTGGCGTTGTAGGTGCGGTTTCTCATTTACAGCAGCAATTGTACTGCTGCCTTTGAATTTTTCACCATTACCATTATTAGTATGCTTGTCATCGTCGTGATTTTGTTGTGTATGCCGTTTATCTGCCTTAGCACCTTTAGGTGGCACTTTGCTGCTCTTCGAGATCAGGCCAGTTGAGCCTGTATCGTCGTCTGCAAGCGCCAAAGAACACATGATAGACAAATTTCAAGCTGTGGCTAGCTTACGGTGTATGAAGGCTGCGATTGCATTTGCTTTATAATTGTTATTTTGGAATTGAGTTATTTACGTGCGTACGTCATGTCCCTGTGATATGAATAAACTCAAAACAATGTTGCTATGCTCCTCCAGCTTTTAGTTGGATCTTTGTCTAGGACCTTTTAAAGATAACTGTGTTATTGACAGAAGAAAAGATTACTCAATTCAGTTCATACCGTTCTTGCGGCGATTCACAGTTCCTCCCTGATCACCGGATACTTTCGGTCGAACCTTCAGCTTGCCGGTAGCCTTCACAGCAACCTGTCCCCAAATAAGCAATAGTCTTAATTACAATTTCTACAATTATAGGTATTCAATTATATACAAATAGAACAACGGAGAGTTTTATAGATCGCCTTTTCGTTCAAATCAAAACAGGTTGGTTTGGACTAGGGATCTATCACTCATTCGGACCCGACATTCAAAGTATCAAATTTGAGTCATCCCAATACCTTGTGGAGTCGTTGTTTGGTGTCCACATTTTTGACTTTTCGCGACGCGGAAGCACCCCCGAGCTGTTTACGTGCGTTTTTATGTTTGATTTTCATGGCCAACGAGTTAACAAGCGTACGCGCCTTATGCTTTGCACTCGATGCCACACACCTGTCGAAAAAACGAACAGTATTAACTGAAACATATTTAATAAACACTTTTATGGTGTTTTTAATATTTTTCACAACCGGGAAGCTAATTTCTAATAAACTGATTGTTCATTTTTTTATTGTCGTTTACCTTCGTACTCGAGCTTCTACATTCTAAATTCGTTTGAAAAACGTCAACAGAAAAAGAGGCTTCTCTATAGTACTTTTATTCTACATAACACTTGAAGAAAAGCAAGCAAACAAAAAAATGCTCTTACTTTTTACATCTGAAAGTAGCTTTGGCGTTCGTTTGTTTTTTTGAGGGACTACGTTGGTTGGTCGTTAGACGTCCGCCCTGTTGTCCTACACAACGAAGATGACAAAGCGAATCACAGCAGTCACAATAGAGAAGCTCGGACGCCTTCACCGCGGCGGATCCCGGGTTCTGGCACACCAGGCAACGCTTACATTGAGAACATTCCCATCGACGACCTGTTACACATTGCTGGGCAATCTAAATTTGATAAAGGAAAGCAAATATTGCAGAAATCTATATGTAGATGCACTCCTGCTCTCAGTCCGCTTACAACCACCGATTTTTAAAACATCCTATCGACTAAACGCCGGGAATCATTACCAGTTATGCTGAAAGCAATGTAGGTCAAGTACAAATCTGTACGATATGTGCAATGTATGCACCTGATGTCACATAGAATTGGATACGATCTGCCAACCAATCTGTTTACATATAACGATGCCTACACTTCCAGCTAATGAGCTTCGCGAAAGCGGAGGAGATGCAAAAATAAGCTGAGAGTCATACAAAGACTTATCTTAGGAAATGCTTCGGCGACTAGAATATTTGTTGGCATAAGTGGATAACATCTAATTTCTCAACATATTTAAAAAAAAAGGCAGAATATGTTTAAATAATAAATAGAACAGATATTACATGATGTAGATCTATTTTGTCTCTAAATAAAGAATGAGTTTCGAAAAACACACGATAATCTATGACATACCTCACCGAGTTTAAAGCAAGCAGCGTGTCCTGCAAAGCCACACTGAGAGCAGACGCACATACGCGATCTCTGGTCGTGCTCACCGCAGGTTGCACACTCCAGTTCCCCACAATCCGTTAATGAAGAGGCTGCAATGATCGTTAACATTTAATTAGGCAAGTTGTTCCTGTTCTATAGTTAAAAGTCGATGAATATTCTTTTCGAAGCTGTGCCAACTTGATTTGAAGTCACGAGACGTACTTAGCCTTTGTTGCGGCGATTTTAGCTGCTGGGATAGAGGTGAGCCAAACGGCGAGATAGCTTTTAGAGGTGAGCTCGGGTTCTGCGATTCCTGATGGATTGTTGGAAGGCCGTACGTCTGATTGTTGTATCTATAAAGGCAAAATGATCAACAGTATCACCATCATCGTCTTTTTTGGCTCTACAATAATTGCCCACCATATAGAGGGCAGTCATAATCCAATATGTTATGTATAAACAGCTATGGAACAGCACTTAGAAGAAGGTGGCTGTTCACTTTAGTTGGACCGCACCGTGTTGCGGCAAACCATACGCAGTGATACTATGATACTAACCTGACAAGGCGCTTTTTCAGTGTCCCTTTCTTTGCCGCAAGTCGTAATCGGTTCAGGAGTTGGGAGGGGCTCATGTCAAGAAGCGTATACTGGCGCTTGATGAACTTTTGTAGACTCACTAATGACGCTGGCTCACCAAGAGACAAGAGGACCTGTAAAGGAATCAAACAGTGGATGCACAAAATAAGTACGATCATATAGACTTCCGCCGCTATGACGGTCACATTATAGAATTTTCACCACAACCGCATAATTAGCAGTTGCGACCAAGAAAAGGTAGTGACGTCAGGTGATCTGACTGGATTTTTAATAGGAACTTGTGTCATCGAACCTGCTCCATAACGTTGAGTAGGTTTGTGCCGCGGTGTATAGCGGCAGCTGCATCTTCTTCCGTCTGGCTGGGTGAGGCGCTGCCCTTGTGAGGACGATGCGAGCCACTTTTTGAAGAGGACGTGCTTTTCCGTCGGGGAATCGGGCTTCCGGCGCTTTCATTCAGGCGATAGCACCGCCCGCCCGGCCCCTCTACCTGCAGGGACAATCACAACGAGACACAAGATCCCGTTATTGCGGAAGATGACGCTCAATAGTGGCAGATGTTAATCATCTTTACTGCATGCAGTAGCCGCGTGCAAAGGAACATTATCTAGAGCGAAATTTTTCTAAACTCTTCCGCGAATGTAACGACGTTATGTTACTTTACTGAAGTACTACCCATTAGATCGCCGGCGTTAATGCCGTTGTAGTCTACATAATAGAGGACGGCTATATTGGGAAACCTACGGTTCATTTTCATCAGCCTCAAACAGGACTGCTTTTAAAATGTCTATGGTTTATTGTGAAAGAAATACGTGTCTGAGAAAAAAATTCTCTTGAAAAATAATGCGCATGAAAATGTTTTTTAAGCCAAGCTGCCAACTTTCGCAGTCCAATAGTTTCCGAAAATAATTTCCATCGTTTGAAGATCTCGGAACTTGTTCAGTAGTAATCGAGAATAGGGAACTCTAAAGCGTTTATCGATAACGTGAATCATCAAGGCAGCATCCGCCGACGGCAGGTGGTAAATAACGCCGACGCAGTATTTACTCTCGGATATTGAAATAGGAGCTTAGAAATGGACAACAGAAGGCGACGAGAAAGGTGGTGATCCGATTAAGCTTATTGGGATCTGACATTAGAAAATGACCGGCATTCTTTGAAATCACTATACCCGTACTCGTGGTATTAAATTTGTAGAACTTCGTTACAAAATACAAAGGTATTATGCAGCGAAGGGAAGCCAGCATGCATCGCTTACCCGCGTTATCTTTCCTTCATTGGATGCCTGCTCCAGATAAAGGGTGATTTGGTGGGGAGGCACCCCGTGAAATGTCTCTATAATATGCTGTATACGCTCTTCGGAGGGTCGCTGTTTGTGGCCCTTTATCTTCCGGATGGCGGACTCCACTAGCGAGTACAGGTCAGAGCCCCCCATACTCTTATACTATCGCGGGGGTCTGAAAAGATAAAGATGATAGATATGTGGGTTAAGCCGTTTCGTCAAACTACGTTTACTAACAACAGCGCATATCAGTAGTCGCCAATCAGCCAATGATATTTCTTCTTTTCATACTCTTCAAAGTGGCAACGTGGCTTGAGGATATAACATTCCTTGATCTTCAAACAGGCGTCACCACACGGAGGCGATACACATGTTTAAACACCAGTGCGTTGCCTTCGTTAAACCATTTAGAGGCGATTCAGGATGTTGAGGACAATTTGACTTACAATTCACGCGCTTTCATAGGTCTATACTGTATAGATTGTGGCATCGCAAAGCGCGCTACTGCCGGTATTACTAATCAGAACTGTATAATGTCCAAACGCTTCTATAACGACTTTATTCATACAAAACTACAAATTCGGATACAACACAAGAATCGAAAGCCCCGTTACGCACGTCAATCAAATAGAATCGCTGAAAATGAATTGATATGTCTGCCATCGGCAATTATAATTTTACACAACAGTTTTGTCTATTATTCAGGCTAGTGTCGTCAACTCTAACTAAGCCAGCCAACCAGCCAGCCAGCCAGCTGATAAAATAAATATACTCAAAAAACATGCTGCACTTTAATATTAAAATGGTTGGACATGTTCCAGAATATTTACTAGGCTTAACTTTTATTGACTGCAACACAAAAACAAACCTACAACAAACGTCTATCTTATCCAGCTACCCATTCGCCCATACAAATTATGCGAACATTTCTCAACAAAAGAAAAAAACAAATAAATATTTCTGTCATAAACATTTATGACAACAAACTTCTATTATATCTAAATCTGATTAGTTCCTAATGACTGTTAATTATTATTAATTACGAGCGCAGTTCAGTTATCACTTGAACCGAAACCAATTAATACTATGTAAGTTGGCGTATACGAGCGGATTTACAATTCTGACATATGGCATACCTTTTATTTATTTATTAATTACGTTAATTTATTGATTAATATTTTGTTTACTACGATTTTGCGCTGTTCTGCATTTAAATTGCTGTACTCCATATCCTAAGGAACGAGAGAAGGATTAGTTATCATCATCTGAAAAACGTTTCGCAAATATTTCGGTTGTCATTTAAGTTACGGTGTTTTCATAGGAGACAAATGTCCAAATTGAACATGAGTACTTGAGCTTAAAAAGCTTGAGTTTGAAATGCTTAATAAAGAAACGAATGCTTAATATTTAAATTCTTTGTAAAATAGGATCATAAAATTTTAGAGACTTCAATTTTTCATGAAGCTTTGGATTTCACAATGTTTTTAGTCAGTCATTTTCATGTCTATGGGGAACTTTAGCCTCACCTCGTACTTGTAGTTCATTGAACTTCCTTTTAACGATAGTTACACAATGCATTTTGAGACTGCAGACCGGTAGAGACCAGTCTTATACATATACGTATATATATATATATAGAGAGAGAGAGAGAGAGAGAGAGAGAGAGAGAGATCATCGTAGTACGACATATTCGCATTAATCAAATTCATCGAACGAAGCTACGAAGTATCAAACTGCAGGTGAAACCTACACATCTCGGTATACACATATCATCACTGTGGCTTAACTTTTAGACCTATAAATCGTAACATGATAAATTGGAGCCTCTGTCACTCATCAATTTGGCTCACTAGCTTACTTAGCTGTTACATAATGATGCATTTATCCTATGTATATATATATTCGTGTGTTTATAGAGGACATTGCGACATAAGGAACAATTATTAGCCCTTTTTGACAATATTTTCTTTAGCATGGAACAAATCAATATTTCTCAATTTTTTTCACGATCTTCCAGTAAAATTCCACGATTTTATGCTCAAGCTATTAGCATTGACCAGAGTGAACTAAACACTGAAATTAACAGTGTCTATAATATGTGAATAGGGTGTCCAAGAAATTTAATCTAATAACAGCGTCAAAATTAATAGACGAAACGAAAATCACGCGGTTCCTTCATATTTAAGCAAAAGTAATTGAGTTTATTAATAGCAATTGATTATCTTAACGAATCGAGTTGTATGCTCTAACAGATAAACCGTTGTTTGCTGAAGCTGAAATTTCTCGGGTGGATCACCCGCGCCAAACTGAGAAAAAAAGAGATCATTTTCATTGTTAGACGAAAACCGCTTAGTCAAGCATCTTCTTTTTTAAATGAACAAATAATAGAATCTTATGTCGCTTAATTGAATATATACTATAGTCATTAGACAATAGTGTGTGCTTATATGGAAGAAGACAGCATAGGTCTATCACTTAGATTGTATATAGCCCCTTGTTTTTGAAGATGGGCAATTGCTATAATTATCCTAAAGGTTCTTCAGCATCTACACAGTTGCTGTACAAACTTTTCCGATACTAAACATAGGATTGAGTCTGCTCGTTAGGGCAGTCAGGGGGTTTGTCGTTAGCACGCCTATGACAACTCGCAGGAGTTATCAGAGAGACAAGTCCCTCAAATACAAGTTGCCTTCGTTGTTGCGATCTTAAACGATGTGCATATTTCGATGTTGTTAAAAGCGTTCCGCATGTTTGCCAACGCGCATTGGTAGGTTGAGCTGACAAGTTTACGGTAAAGCTTCATCAATCGCACATAATGTGATACAGTGGTACTACGCATGCATCGACCAGAGAAGACGTGAAATGTGATTTATTTGTGTATGTATATATATATATATATATCATAAGCTGCATGAGGCACAAGACACATTTCAAATGGCCTTTTAGGAATTATCGTAAAATAAGCTATATCGTACCTCTCTTCCGTAACATAACCCTAAGTTTAACCACATTATAATACTATACTTGAGTACCTTATGGGATTGGTAAACGGCTTTTTGTTATCCCAGAAAAGAACTGGTGTACGAGCTGCTATTGCAGTAGATTCTACGTATGTCAGACTTCACGTAATGAAAAACTAACATGCGACTAAGAGCATCGTGTTTAAAAAAAGAGATATGCCGGTTGTTGCATCTTGCATTAAGGAGTTGTTAACCGTTCCAATATTTGACATGTTTTATCATAATCAATATATTCTTTTTAAAAAATTCATGTTTCCATTAGAACATATTTTGAGCACTGCTCAGTTTCCTTTACGAAGAAAAAGGACAATAGACCTTGTATGTACTGTGCGCGGGAATACACTTATACAGATTGAATAAAGCTCTGCATAAAACTCAGGGAATTAATGATATGTACTATCGCTAAAGAGTTTCTTTTGATATAAACACTGCTACGCAGTAAGTCGTGCTCTCCATACGAAAATAGAGTTTTATTAGATCCTTTTGGTTGGGCCTTTTCTATCGGCTAGGCAAGGCATACGTGCTGTTGCCGTCAAAACCCTGCACACTATTTAAACAGCTCAAATTTGTTTATACGGCAAAAGATCTGATACGTTTCACTTGTGTACTCTTCCTTTGCGGGAACCTAATCTTTATGAGTTAATTCCGTTTTACGCACTCGAAACTAATCAGTGAATTTACCAGGTAGCCGGCGCGCCAATCAACGGTCAAAATTGGGTTCTACGCGACGGTTGACTAGCGGTTAAGCGCCCAGTGGCGGGAAACTTGAAGCAGGTCGTTAAAGGCTTTTTCTTTTTCCGTCGAGCTGTATCATGCGGCCTTGTAACACAAATCAGATCAAACGAATTGCCTCTGGCGCGTGATAGTGTAACGAACTTATGTGAGTAATTCAACTTCGAGTGCATACTCGTCGAGATTACAACTAATTTCATGATTTACGACAACGTTGAGCTACTTTATTGTTAATTTATGACTAGGTTTTGGAAGCTGCTCAACAACAGTAGCTTCTATGGAAGGCGTTTTGTATTTCACACAATCTAGTTCCCAAACCACAATAACCGTATGCATTGCTTAAGCTTTTAGCTAGCCAGCAAAACTATCTCGCCTAATTCTGACGGAAACCACCGATCATGGCTAGTTTGTTTGTAAGTAAGCACAACGTAAACTCTACACGATTTCCGCAGGCATAACCTTCTGGAAGCAATCACGATAAATTGTACTGACTCAACGAATGCAATTGTGCACCATCAACTGCTAAATCTCTACGGATGGGACCTTTGTTGTGTTATGGTTATTACCAGTTTCTGCGTCACTCGGGGCATACGACGATCATGGTCTACGACCGGTTTATGATGATATTAATAGGCAGCCGTCTGCACTACCACGGATTCTTTGGCACCTTCGGCAATCCTTCATAGCGCCAGTTGAAAACTGCGGCTCGGAAGCGGTACAAAGCAGCAGGAACACAATGGCGTTGTTCGACGTGTTCAGAATCGCACAAATGCGACTTTGTCTAGGCAAGGCGGGATCGGCACGACAGCCGTGCGTGCAGGACCCGTTAGTCTTCAATGCACGACACTCACTACCACTGCGGTGACATGACCACGACCGTATCCACTACTATTATCAACAGAGCACCAGCATTGGCTGTTGCACTCGGGGCGACGACGGCACACAGCACGATCCGTTGGTGTTATTATTTCGACTACTGGTTGGCCTTCATTTCTTTTTGTTGTCGTTCACGAGCAAAATGGTGGCGAAATTCGGTTCACAAATAAACATACATACATATAGCAGTAATAGTACTACTGTTACTAGTGGCACGGACGTAGAGAGTCGACACTCGTCGGTTATAGCGTTATTCAGTGCTGCGCCTGTGCGATGGCTAATAGTCACAGGCCAATGTTATGTTGTTGTGCTCGCCAGCGACCACTGCCCGTTCGGTCGATTCGTCTACGTCCCCACTGGCAGCGAGTACGGCGGCGGCGGGGCCGTTGGCCCCAGGCCTGCTGTTGTTACCTGTTACTCACTGACGAGGGGAGACAGTGTTAGGTGCAGCGGCTGCCGTAGCAGTCGTCACAGCAGAACCACCAGCAGTAGCAGTACTCGTAGTGCTACAGCTGCTGCTGCAGCTGCTACTGTAATACTACGACGATGACGACGACGACGACGACGACGACGACGACGATTCCTCTGCAAATAATCTGTTCAGCTCAAGCTAAACGGCCTCATAAGGCTGAGATGGTTATACAGTTGTTTCAGCAGCCCGGACGCCAGTCAACAACTGCACACAGTGTGGAGCCCTACAAAAAACGGCCTCAAGCGTCCAGGAACTAACCGGGAACACCGAACAGGGGTCTAGGGAGGGCGATTCTAAACAACGCAGTTCAGTTCAGTGGTCACCAGTACAGCGGGGCAGGACAGCACAGTGGGCCGACACAGTGGTCGGTGGGTCGATGGACGGCAATCCCCACGGTCACTGCTGCTGCCGCTACTGCAGCGGCGGCCTGCCTTTACAATCACAAATAACACCTTCAACAGCAATGGAGCAGCCGCTGTTTCGGCAGCAACAGCACCAGATGCGGCAGCAGCATCAGCGTCGTCATTCGAACTGTTGTTGTTATTGTGTTTTTTGACGATACAGACATGGGAAAGAACGGCTCTCCGAATGGATGCATGTTTTGGCGGGTTATTCCACTGCACGGCAACTGCTGCTGCTGCTGCTGCTGCTACTGAGAATGGAAACCAAGGCTGAGCCCGGGCCAGCCGTTACTTGATTGGAGAGCCATTACCAAAGGCCGCAGTTACCTTGAATCACCATCATAGGTAACGGCGTAGATTTGGTTCTGAAAGCAAAAGCGGGTAGATTTTTCCCGCGACAATTCAGCTGATTCGTTCATGACCGCAAGCTTTGGAAAATGCGCGGGAAAAAGCGAATATTTTGGCGCATGGCGAATGCTTTGTCATTCTCACGAACGAAAATGTCATTCTTAATTCGTATACAGTGACTGCATAAAACATATCCCGACAACTATATCGTTGCAATAGATAAATTTGTTTAGCCCGAAGTTAGGACCTTCGCTGATAGTTCAAGCTTCATTTCGAATTGAAAGTTGCATTGATAAACTGAAATAGAATGGTGTACGTTATAGCTACTCCGTGAGAGAGAAACGAGCCACTTTTTCTTTTGTTTCGAACATAATAAAAACTTTTTTTATAAGGCTTAAGACGGCGTAATTCAACATAGCATTAAATGTAAGTTCAATGCTTTGCCATAAAAGATAGCTTATGACATAGACTTTTTTCAAACGAATACTTAAGGTATTGTATTTATATGTGTTGTAAGAAATTAGAGCATTATCTTTCGTTTATTCTCCTAAATAATTTTTCCGATGATTTTATATTATATTCAAATAAAGCCGCCTAATAAAGTTTTTCACGCCTTTCTTCACCGGAATACATATGTGGAACCGGCAGCCTCGATTTACCACTCGAATTTTGTGGGGCTTGTGTTTATCGATGTAGTCTTACGCGGATAAAAAATTTATTGTTGTTGTTGTTGTTGCTATTATTATTAAATTCACATTTTTTGTAATAAGCTCAAGTCCTTAAATAAATTCAAGAATTGCATGCGATTCTTCTAGCTACTTTTATTCGATGTTATAGTGAAAAGAGGCGTGATTAGCAAAAGTAAACCCTTTTTAATTCTACAGAGCTACCATAGAACTAATCTGTGGCAATACTACAAAGGAAACATTATTTCTTATTATTATTATTATTACTTCGAGAAGAGGCTAATAGATTTTCTATAAAAACGCAAATATTAGAACGAGTACTCAGAAGGATCGAAGCAAAGGCCATCAAAAATAAGGAAAGCCTTTTTTCAAAGACTTTGCATAAATAGTTTTCCTACGATTCAGCATATCACATAATTAGTTAACTCATCATGTTTTTGTTATTGAACAACAATGTTGTTCTATAAAGTTGTTTTTGGTCACTGTTCTGCGGCAAATTATTTTCGGTTAATTTTAGTTTAGATACCTAATCAATTGCTTGTCGGTTTTTCGCAGGCACGACGTGCTATGTTTATTGTAATAATATAGTTCCTTGCCGCTGCAGGCGCCGCTGTCGTTACCTGTCTTTACCGTGAAAGTTGTCGCAGTTTGAGCCAATGTGATTCACTCAAACATGTTTTGTGCTGATCTCGTTCCATCTATACCATTACTAAACAGTCGATGCCATAGTCGATCCAAACGTATCTATATAAACAATCCAGTTACTATTTTTTCACCGAGCCAATATTATGCCTAATGCTTACAAAGCAGGTGGCTCCGTGTGGCATTAACGTTGCAATCTCATCATAGGTCCCTTGTCACTGCATTGCCCGAGCTTTTACTGTGAACTATGCGTCATCGACACACCTTTCTTATCTCACATTATTCTATACTTTCAGTTTGATAACTCGAGTACTATCACCCTATTTTCGGCTCACTATACTTCAATGAATCACCAAAAATAATAAGGTACGTGTCGTTAAATAACTAGGATAAAAAGGCGTCGTTGTTTTCAATAATTATGTCGTTCTAATGCAACATATTCGTCCAATCCTCCTAATCTAAGTTTCGTAATCGTATGTAGCCGTGTACGTTTGTATAATATTAAAAAAAATATTATAAATTAAAAAACTCATAAATTATATCTGTTTGCTTACAATCGAATATGTGTATTGCATAATAGCTTCTCGGTGTAACACTAGGAATCATTCGTAGCGCAGCTTTATCATCATATCATTATACGTCAGGTCAGCACTCGATCTCTTCAATCTTTTCTCTTAGCTAATTGTCTATAGGCTAGAGATACATATCCAAGCTCTGCAAATCCCTACGTAATGCTAGTTCAGCTTCCGTTTTTATTTTGTTTTTGTAATTCGGCAACATCGACAACGCTACGAGACGACACAGAGGAAAAATGATATAGTATATCGTTTTTTCCTGTGTCGTTTTTCCGACTTCGTCAGCTTCACGATGACATTTAGGTCAAGCATGTATAACATAGATGCATGCATTATAGCCAAATGTATTACTTCGGCATCGCCAAATACAGTTAAAGGCTGCTGTGTTTTCTTTTAAAAACGTCGTTAGCTTAGAACAGACTGATGAAACCGTATTGATAATTGTGCTTTTTCTTACGCTAATTTTGTAAGCGCGATGATATATTATCGAGTTTAATTATTTAATCTCTCTTGTTTTCGGCAGCTATACGCTATTAATAACTACTGGAGATGAGACAGCATTAAATTGTGAGCATATAATAAAAATTATCACTAAGACAAAGCATTCTCTGTTAGTCGTCCATATCACGACGCAAAATTAATAAGCAGAATAACGGATTTTGGCTTGCTGCTCCGACCATTTTATTACTTTTGTGTTTTCCTTTATTTTCTGTCAACATAAGAGTTAAAAAATCGTTATCGAGGGTTACTTAAGTCAACGCAGTCAAATCGACAGTTAGATCGGTCATGGGAAACACACTTAGCAATTTGTGTGTCTAGGTGCCGAAAGAAAAGGAAACAGAAAACGACTTTAGAGTCGTTTTCTAACTTAGTATCTAACTTACTTGATAAATAGTGGTCTAATGGTTGTTTTGCAGTTCGGCGAAGCATGTGACGAATGATTTTGGTGTACCTCACGTACTATATATGTATATATTTCTAATTGCGGATTTCCTGCTGACCGACATTCGCTGATGCTGCTGCTGATCTACAGGTCTAGTTTTTCGTTTTATGTATCTCTATATACGTGTCTGTGTAAATAAATGTGTGTGTGTGTGTGTGTGTGTGTGTATGTGTGTGTGTGTGTGTGTGTATGTGTGTGTGTGTGTGTGTGGTCTCTAGGATATTGCGTTACCGCAAATACAAGCTAGAACAGCAACGATAACTGTCCAGCCTTCTCGTCATTTTGCGACATTGCTCTGTCGCAACGAATGCTCTTGCCCCGTTGACGTAGGGAACCTTTCATAATTTCGAAGGTTGCCACGGTTCATCTTCTCAGGAAAACGTTGAACTTGTAGAGAACTTTCGATCACAGGAATACCTTGATATACCCGAAATTGACGACAAGATGTCGTTCCGGCCCTTCAGCATGGTTGTGGTAGGATTTGATTGTTGAGTTTATGGTAGGCCTCTATTTTCTGCCATAGGCTTGCCCTGTTTTTCTTTTTTAGCCCTTTTTCATATTTCTGTGGGACCTTTTTAGTTGGTTTTGCTACAGCGGCAGTGCTGTCTATATCAATTTAGAGCAACTCATTAGAAGTAGCCTTAGCGTGGTTGTGACCGTTTGCTCGCTTGTTCTCGTTTTTTTTGTTCCCTTAATTCTTAATGATTTCTTCCATGATTTGGTGTACGCTGGCGCTAACCTCCGGTGCTCGACATTTGATCGACAGAGTGATGCTGCTGTGAGAGCTGGCAGGGAACGATGGAGCCATCTTGAGTTCTGCTAACACCCAGATGCCGTTGACGAGCTTGAGCGACAGGTAAAGCATATCCTGTCCGTCCACCGCACGCTTAGCTACGGTGAACATGTTGTTTTGCTGAAGCTTGGCGGAGATCTGGTCGGGACTGAGTGCCAGCCCGTTAGTCAGCTCAAACTGTAGCTCGTTGTCTGCTGGGATGTCCTTCCACGTTGCAAGGAACACCTTCTTGTCCATCTGGCCGTCCTCCACCGCCAACGCATGCATCGGAACCAGGCACGACAGATACAACACGTCGACATTGTTTTTGATCGCCACCTGCAACAAACACGGCAAAAAGTAAGAACATCATAAGCGGTCAGAAAACAACACTGATTACCAGGAACCTCTTACGACAAATCATAAATGGCATTCATTTTATGAAACCGCGCTTGAAATACAAACTGACCTGAAGGTTGGTGAGCGGCTGCATTTTCTGTACGGGCCCACCCGTTGTGAGAGGCAGGGAGATGTCCTGAAGTGCACAGAATCAATCAGTTAAAGCAATTCCCTGCTACGTGTCCTGCATTTTAGAATTGCGATGTCTCAAGCTGCGAGATTACACGGTCTCATAGTATAGTAGGCACGCTTAACGTGCCAATCAGTCAACTGTTATGTTCATGCATGTCCTTACCTGAGGATAGGAAGGCTGTAACGGCAGTGGCACGTTGAGGGGTTGTGCGGGAATAAGTCCGAAGCTGTTCTTGTTCAGTTGTATTGCAAAGCCGGTCATAGGTGCCATAGCTTTGTTCGAAAGTGTCATATCCATTATCAGCTGACCGTTGCGCCTTGTGAAAGTCCCGCTAATTTCCAGGCCTATAGTAACGATAACGCAACAACTATCAAATTTACAGTATATCATGAATAAAAATAGCTGTCACTACTGCAATGGAAATTTGGAAATGTGTATATTATATAGTAACTAAGTGCTGTCCCATCTAGAGCGTTTGTAGAAGTGTTCGACCTCCAAAATAAATGTTATCTACCATCTGAAATAAACCATACCTTTTCCTCTCGTAGCTTCTAGCCACACCTGTTTAGGCAAGGTGTGGAAGGCTGATACAGGCGCCACTCCAAAAATATCGCCCAAAAGACCGGCTGCACCACTTCCACTTGATGGAGCGGAGATTTCTGGAGCTGCCACGGGCGCGCTGACAACAGTCCCGCTGACATCGCCTCCAAGCAACGCATCCAAACCCCCGCCCAGAACATCGAGGCCGGGAATCGGTCCGGGAGCCATTGGTGCAGCGGGCTGACTGAAGCCTCCAGCTAGATCGATCGAGAGCAAGTCTCCGATAAGTGAGTCTGCTGAAGGAATAACGGCCGGTTGTGAAGCGGCCGCAGGCGGGGCTACCGGCGCTGTTGCATTTCCCGCAGCAGCTGTTCCCTTAACCTGAAATACGGCGGTATAATGTTGAAAAGGACGCTTAGAAACGATTGATCGAACTCTCTCGAAAACTAGCAATAGAAGCTTCTAAGTTGCGCGGCCAAGTTTGATACCAAGATAATGTAATTGAAAGTAGCTGCCTGTAAACTGCGTAGAACCATCATTTAGTTGATGCGCCGCCTAAACGGAATGGTGAATTTGGACATGTCATGAGTATAGTTCAGTAAGCAGTCCCCGAATGATTGACGTATAGTCACTTAATTGTATCTACCTGTTTTGACATTAATAACCGAGTAAATTATGCACGTACTTGGGCAAGTTGTGTTTTGCCAGTTGCTGACGTGCCTTCAACAAAGGCCGAGGGTGGCTTGTGGTAAACGGACGCAAGTGATCCAATATGACAGATTAGTTCATCAAGCAGAGTTGGTTCGAGCAGATCTGTCTCTTCAGATATAAGCGGCTTTTCTGCAAGTACAACTTCTTTGGCTGCCGCAGGATCGGTAGACAGTAAGCGCCAATAGATGAATCCACGATCCCGAAGATCCGGATTGTCAGAATCTTGTGTCGCAAGTGACAAAACCTATCGGTATGACCGAGACAATACCATGCACGACGCCTAATTGTTAACTGAGTGAAATCAATGGAGTAGTACGTTGACAGATAATCATGTAAAAGGCGTACCTGAAGCTTAACATAGAAATAACTTTTAGGAAAGAAATTGTACCTGTTGCACGAGGTCCTGAGTCTCTGTTGGTCTTTTAAGAAACAGTTTGACGATTGCAGTGAGGAGTTGTAACTGTACGGCTGTATTCTCATCGTGGAAACCTTCTAGGAATGATTCTAGCAACTCGTCCGCGTTATCAATACGCTCCGCATATTCGCCTAGAAAGCACTATATTCTTTAATATCGCCTCACCTTGTCGTGATGGCTCCTCCATAGAGCATCACAGCACTTTAACAAAAATAGTTTCAGTTGAATGACTTTTATCCATCTCCTCGTTTGCCATTAGTGTCTTTGTATTCATTATTGTAGACCGACTCATCAACATGAGAATATTTTTTGGCAAAAACTAACTTGTGATTTCTATAACTGGAAGTATCTGTTGGGGAACAATTTTTGCACTTGCATAACGATGCAGCCTAGATTTGTAGCAAGGTATAAAAACACCAAGCATATTTACTGAACCTCCATCATGTTTCGCTGCAATGTTATAGTCTTGCACTTACCAATAATCCAGATCATGGAAGCGCGTGCTTCTGGTTCGTCCAGCGTATCGAGATTTTCGCACAGGGTCGAAATAATACTCTCGTATTTGTTCGGATACTGCATATAAAAAACGCCAAATAAGTTATGATAAAATTCCCCAATGAGATACCTAGACAATCTCAGCCAGTAACAAAGATAAGTAATACAAGCTTAAATTCAAGCTTAAGATTCAAGCTTGTTCCCTTATATCCCTTATTACTTTTTACCATCCCTAAAACGGCTTAAGTCATGAGCGCTATCAGAAATTTGGAACAGACTTACAATTGATTGACTGCGGTCAGCTTATGTTCTACAAATATGTATAGAGGTTATTGTAGTAACGTATAGATTTTAGGTTTGGGTCAGGTAACAGTACGATGATAGAACTGGCTCTAATCCTTGCCAATTCTTCTGTGTATTTACCCACCTTTCGGAAGATGTCCTTGATGACAACAATCGCTTCCTGAACAACGTAGTTGACTTTGGTTTGAATCAAATCCAAAAGAGTAGCAACACACCTCTCGGCTGAAGGTTCAACCTAATTTATTGATTGGTAACATTTGTGAGTGACTAATTTCCTAGAACCCAATGAATTTAATTATGATTTAAAGTTGTATATATACATCTAGTTATAATTAGTACTATATATACACACCATGGACAGAGGAGAAGCCTAATGATGAATTATCAGTTTGAGCTAAAAAAAAATTACGATAATATGTGTCGTCTCTTTGGCCTGGAATAGCAATATTCTATTTTGTAGCAGGAGACCTTTGGATCACAGCGACCATATGTTACTGGCCAATAGTTGCGATTTTTGTTTTCAATAAAAAGAACATACCTTAATAGCGCATCGTCCAATAGCTCGAACGGCTTTTCGTACAAAATCAACGTCGACTTCTGTTGCGTATTCCTTAAGTTCGCTTAGGACTTGGCCGATGTTCGACTGGTTGGCCAAACGAATCATGATGTCCAACTTCTCGAGCTTGACGTAAATCGGATCGTTGTACTTGACGAAGAAAACTTTCATCTCGTGCTTGAGGATATCGGGGCGTTTCTGAACAATCAAATTGATGTTACGCAGGGCGACATATTGAACCTCCGGTTCTGAACTTAGCAGAGTCACCAGAGGCGGGGCCAGTTTCCTGGTCAACGACGCTACCGCATCCGGACCTTCGGGTCCAGCAGCTACCGCATCCATCAACTTCATAAGTACGCGAACAGCACTCAGTACGACAGCTGCATTTGCGTGAGCCAGCCGAGGTGTTACACGTTCGCAGATCGACGCCGCCTCACGGTCATCGCGAGGTTTGTAGCCTGCCAGGGCGTCAAGGATAAAGACCTGGCCCCACTCGGTGCACTCGTTCAATGCAGTCAGCAGTTTGTTGATAGCCTGCGGCGCCATCGCAGAGCTGGCCGCTGCTGATGAATCGCCAGCCGCAATCTCAGACAGAGCTGCGACTGCGTTCGCTACAACCATTGGATTAGAATCGGATAGAAGCTCTTTGAGCGAGTCGAGAAAGCCACGGTCGTCCACTAGGGACGCGCTGATGTCGTGGAGTTTCGCCACACATACAGCTGCTGTTTTACGCACGTACGGATCTTCATCACGCAGACATCTACGCAAGGGCTCGCATAAATACTCTGTGATTTTATCGACACGTATGCATCCCATTGTGCGAACAGCCAGCGCTCGGATGAGCGGGTTCGGGTCCTCGCAGTCCTTCACGAACGTATTCACCGCCATTATGGCCATGTCGGGCTGTGACTTTGCATAATTCATAAGGTACAGATAAACGAGCTTCTTGAGTTCGAGGTTGTCCGTTTGCATGCAGTTCACGACGTCGGGGAACAATGCTGACACGTCTTTCCCGACTGTCATAGAGGCGATCACCTTTTTTACGGCTTCCCGCTTCTTTTCTTTCTTCTCCGAGTTCAACTCACTCTTCAACTCGAAGATCTCCCCTTTTTTCGTTGTCGTGAAATACTTTGCGTCCGTCATCGTTGCAAGAGTTTGTGCTCGTCTTCCGTACAAAAAACGATTTCGAGAGAAACAGCGATGATTTGACAAAATGACAAACAGCAGTTAACCGTCTAGTCAAAGCGGTCACGGATTCGCTCGGTGTGTGATTGGCGACTAATTCGACTCGGCGTGTATAGCCGGTAAATAAAACGATTTGCCACAGCTGTAATTCAACAAGCCAAAACAAGGATAATAGTAAGACAAGAATTAGAACGTTTAAGAAGGCAAAACCTAAGAATTATCTGACTGTGATGCGGTAGCGTAGCATTAATAAAATACATTTGTTTGTAGATGTTAGTCCAATTTGCGGGCCTAGAATTGGGTACGTATTAGTTCTTGAACATATTATAGTGTGTATGGAATATAATCTTTACAGGTACTTTGAATAAAGACCATGGCACATAACAGCAGAGTGCCATTTGCTGTCACTGATACACTTATTGATGTGTTACAACCACAAGTTTACTTCAGCAATTCAATCAGAAAGCTTCTAGATTCTAAGTCTATTCCAATATAGGCATATAAATTACAATAGAGCAAAATTATTAACGCACTGTGTCTGTTAGCCGCTATTATTATTTTTCGTTCTTTTAGCTGCTATTACTTACCCAGTTATGGCAATCAGTAGCGATAACGTTTTCCTGAAAGACAATAACATAAGAAGAACCACGTGAGTTGCTTATAAACTGTAGTCTATTTGATAGCAGAAATTGTTTATACCGCACCGTATCGCAGCAGATTTAAGGTGCAATTTCATTCAGACGCCTCACACTTCCACTGAATACTTCGAGGCGATTACTATATGCGGGTCCTGTATGAACCTTTAAAGCACGACAGCAGTGATCACGAAGAACATCCGCCCTGACATATTCTTAATCATACTGTCTAAAACAGCATTTTGCCAATAAAACCCATAATAGACAACTATCTTTGGTATGTCTTACATTTTTAACATAACAATGTTTGCATCAACTTGAAAGGCACTATTTCAGAGCGGAATGAGTTCCCCGATCTTGTAGCTTTTTATCCTTTATCGGTCATTTCAAACAGGAACGAGGACTCGGTCGTATTTCATAGGACCACATCCGTGTCCGTGGTAAAAACTGACCACACATCCGCAGGTGAATGCTAATGGCAGTAACCGCTCGATAATCGCCGAACAAGAGCGATTCATTTAAGCAATTTGCATTCGTGTTCGTCCGCACTTGCGGCGCTAACAGTGTCATCACGATCGTGGAACAGTAAGTAAACAAAACTCACCGTGCGGGACGTGGCAAGGGCTAGCCCGCAGCAACCGGAGCTTGACGGGACAAAGGCCAACACTCGTTCGGTAGAGTCCACAGTTTCAGATAGACCTCTGAGCACCGTTCAGGTAAAACAACAACGTCGAAAAACGCCCCTTGATTCTATTCGCCCACCAATTTGCTGCTCACACAGACATTTACCAGACAGTCGTCACGAGCAGTAGCAGCATCACCAATAATAGGGGCAGTGTAACAGAACAGCAGCAGAGCTGTATGATGATGTTTTCTGCGTGACGTCCCGATCGATCTGTTTAGCTGGGCCGTGCGGCTGGCCATCGCTACACACCGCCACTGTCCCTCAGTCCTCGCCGTCTTCCTCCTCCTTCTCCTTCTCCGCCTGCTATATGCTGCTGCTGCTGCTCTCTCTCACTTCCTATCTATCCCTGTTTGTTTCTCGTTTCTTCCGTTCCACTATCAACCTCTCGCATGGTCGGCAGTCGCTGGTGCCGATGGTCCTTGGTGAGACCAAGTGAGTGGGCAGCAGCCAATGTCGAGTACGCCGCGAGACATCGAAAGCACACCAGTTAGCCACTCTTCTCAGCCCTAGCCGAATTCGAAATAACGAAAGCCGCCGCCAGTAGCCCGCCAATATTCAAAGAGCTGTCTCGACGGGATGATAACAAGCGTGCGCGAACAAAACGGTACGTTTTTCCATTGCCTTTACTCGAAAACGATGTCTGAAGTCGCCTGGGCTCGAGAATAATTCACGTGTGACGATTGTTTTATGCAAGACGCTGTTGCTCGTTACAGTTCTTGGGAATTACTTTATTGGGTGAACTTATTTTCCTTGTTAGCTTCTCTGGGCTTCCTGTATCATTTGCGCTATTGCCAACTGGGGCTGAACGTTCAAGACGGAGCGAAAGAAAGTGCACTGACGGTGAAGAGAGTCCGAGTATCTCCTTCGAGTGCATCTCCTAAGCTTGGGCCTACCCTCCCTCCTGAGCTGTCGTTTGCGCCCGCTGCGTTCGAATGTGGGATTTGCTTCTGCCGACCATACTGTGCGGCAAGTCATGTTTCTGGTGATTCTGCCGGCGAAGCTCTCTTCTCTACTAGTAATATTAGGCAGCTTTACTGTGCTCTTCCTCTCATCGGGTATTCAAAGCGTACAAGCTGCCGGCAGCAGTCAAAGACTTCAGGTAGGCGGCGGAATCGTGTTAGCAGTAAGACGTCCAAGCAGAATTCAATAACATGTAAAAAAGAAAAACAGATCAATTATTGATGTAGCGTAATTCGACAGGCTATTCTGTGATATCCAGTCGAAACTCAACGTAACAGAGAACCAGATGATAACAAAAAATATAGTAATAACACCATATATATATTAACCCTTTCATGTGAACACGCTTAATTTCCAGTTGGTTAGTATCTGGAATTTCTATGGTAGTCTTTGCTTTGATGGGTACCAAGACCGTTTTTATCTAAGTTCGTCTGTTAGCATTAAATTGAATTGGTCCTAAGGGCGACTTCTGCGGACAAGCCTGTGTACTATTGTAAAGCAGAAATCAATGTATCTAGCGCGTATGGAGTGTATCTTTGCAGTACGCCATGATACGAAAATTGTGACAATTTCTCGTTATACGTACTGTTATATATAAATATATATATATATATATATATATAACGAGCGTAATATATGTGTAATTTTTGCACAGTTTTGGCCTGTAATCGTATAGTTGCTATGATAATGGAAACAGTGAGCTACTGTGGAACACAAAGTAACATGTGTAATTAGGGTTGGACGACGTGTGATCCGTGTATCTCTTAATGTATCCCGTGACAACTGTCCGTCCTATCTACTGGTGACAAACATCTTAGTTATGTTCGAACGTGCGAATTTTCACAGGCTGTAGAAAGCTGTTGAATGTAGAAGCAATGTACTCACCCCGTTGAAATGAGTTACAAATTGTTCCTTTGAGTTTTGCGCCGTTACACTGCAAAATACCGTAATCTTACCAAAGTTCTAATATCACGAATTCATCTTAGTAGCTTTGCTTCGTCGGAGTGCTTCTGACTTCTTCGTCTGAGTGGTATTCGGTAGAGCTATGCTAAACAACTGGCGCGGCCACATGCGTAGCGTAGGCACATAGATCTCAATAAAGATTATTTTTCGAAATAGAATCGTGCTAGTTTGTTTTTGTTTGTTTTTTTTTTTAACAGAAAACGGTTCAGCTTAATGAACCCAATTGGATGAAGTTTAGTATCACCAATACAAAGCTTAATGATGCTTCTATGCATAGCTGGGAACATACTGGGTTAATATTTAAAGACGCTGACATCAGAAACAACCAACGGTCGCTTAAGTCTACAAGGTCACTTTAAGAATAGTATCAGTAGTTTTCGATCCCCTGTCAATTCAGTAGGATATCATTTCCATTTTAATTCGTATGACATGTGATATCTAGCGACCGAAGGGGATGAAAGCCGTTAAAATGCTAATCACGGAGGAAGACCATTGCAGACCACTAATTCGAGTGATTTCTTATTTGAAGAAATTCGATGTTTATATTTGCATTGTTTATTTCTCGTGTCAATGTCTTTAAATGTTAATTGACCATTTTGTTCCTACGACGTTCATATTCCATATATAATATATAATGTTCCATGTTCCTACAAAGTTCATATCGTATTGGCTGTATTGTTATTTCGTGAGCTCTGAAGGTTTTATATAATAAGGAAATATAAAAATTATTTCCTAGGAACGACCTTGGTTACATTGCTATAACAGGCCGAAATGAAGAACAAGTTACTTTTTACAACAAATTTGCATATCGAATACTTTTGCTGCTAAGTATTTGTTGATCTTGTGAGAATCCTAACTGCCGTCTTAGTTGGGAAAGTCAAGGAAGTCACCAGATACTGACCTAAATAGGTTTGCAAGACACGAAAAAGTTTTGCGGTCATCACTGATTTACTGTATGAGCAGGTAATATACGCTATCAACGCTGGCGGTGAGGCTCATACAGATATACACGGTATTTCGTATCGACGAGATCCCCTTCTGGGTCGAGGAGGGCGAGGCAGGAGTGGCGCTAGTAGCGGTGATCGTGGTACTGCCAGTGCTTTCGGGAGGACCTTGCTCATTGCACGTTCACCTATTTCGGATCAGATACTGTACCAAACGGAGCGGTACGTATGCAACCCGTTTTGCTACGCTAGATTTACAGCTATGGATACTATAAATTTAATCTGCGCGCAAAGTTCCGGCAATAGAATTTCCTGCTTACGTCGAATATTGCTCATAAAAAAATCAGGTCCTTTTACCTAGAAATAGATAGTAATAGTAATACATAAGGTTTATTCCAACACACAAAACCTGCTTAAAAATTTAAAATATGGCTCCCTATGAACGGCTTTCAAATCTTTCCCGATGCATCTAACATTCAATGCTCACATTTGACTCGGGGCTGTTCCTCTTCCAGTTACCACACATCAACTTTTGGCTACGACATTCCCGTCAGTCAAGATGGCCCCTACGTTCTTGTCCTCAAATTTTGCGAAGTCTACTTTGATGCCCCTGGACAAAAGGTGACGAATCTAAGATCACAGATGTTAGAATCTAGTGGTCCTTCCAAATACAAGGCACCTGAATAGCACACGCATAAATGGTTATTTGTCGATTTCGACAAACGATGTATATCTCGCGAAGTGTTGATTAGGGCGGTTGCAAGCCTAGGGGCTGAGTGCTCTGTACAGTATTAATATTATAATAATTATTATAATAAATATAATAACTATAATTACGAAGCATATCATTTTTCAGATAACTGATTCTGCAAGGAAATTTCAGTTAGCAAGTTGCATATCTTGTTTTTCTCTCTATTATTCCTTAAACTTTTATAGATATAAGCGTCGTTATCGAAACAATTGTTTTGTTAAAAATAATCGTTTTTGTCGACTTCTTGGAACGTAATCATTAACATAAATTTACTTAGTGGTACGTCTATATGGCACTTCAGATCTTTGATGTGGTTTTAAATGGCGACCATTCCATCGTGGAGAATCTGGACATTTACGCACGCGTTGGCCGAGGAGTCGCGCTAGACATAATGGTACCCTTCAAAATAAAATCAAATAAGGTGAATATGTGTCGTATGTGAAAGGTACAATGCTAAACCCATAAAACTGTAGACCTGATTTGCAAATCATTGAAAGAGAGATATATAATGCGGGACGGCGGACGTTCCTATTGTTGTCACGACTTTGTAATTACATATAAATGTAAACCTTTCTGCTAACTTGGTTCGACAGTTGTTCGTAAATGGAGAAGTGTCAACACACGCCGGCTCTATCCGGGTGGATTTTGTCAAGGGTAAAGCAGACAACCCAAAAGTCAATGCAGTGGTTGTACTTAAAGGAACGCCAGATAGTAAGTGATATTTTTTTTACTCCTTACAATCACATCAGTAATTTACTTCCGATTCTTTAAAACCAGATTACTTAATCCGAGGCTATGATATTAGTATAGCAATCATGTCTAGAGATCTACGAAATCCTTTTGATATATAATTACTTAAGCGCGTCCCAGGACATGCAACACGATTCACCGATTTATATCGCGCCGCATGTGCGTTATGACCTCAGAAACAAAGGCAATTTAATCACAAAATGTTTAACATGAGCATTCCTAGTGCGTCCTGAGTAAGTGTCGAAACTTCTGTTCAGTAGTTATTGTGTAACTACTGAAGTTTTTGCATAATGTATCCTCTAGGATTACTGTCGTACTGTGACTCCATGCCAGGGAAACGCTGTAAAAGCACTTGCTAGAACTAAACACCAGTGGCAACTATATAATCCTATATAATCCTATATAATCTAAACTCACATGAGGTCAGCGCATCATCGAAGCGTTACGATTCAGTGCGGTAAACACTTTTCAGTGACAGCTACGCAGGCAAGTCTAGAACAAATGCCGGCCTGCCTGCCTGCCTGTCTGTGTGTCAGTTCGGAGAAGGCAACGACGTGTAGCTTTGTTCACCGGCAATCTAAATTGCCTACACGGACAGATTCGGCACAGTGGCTTGCATGACCGCTTAACGTCTTTTTTTTTTCATTATATATATTGCTATTAGCATAAAATTGATTTTTGCGTTTATTATCCCATTTATGGGTAAAGCTGCCATCAATCGACATTAGCGGCTAGTTAGACTTAACGCTACCATTCGACTCTGCTAGCCAATATCTGCTTTTATTGATCTAATGAATTCCTTCCGAGATGGTGGACACGCACAGATATCTTCATTTATTTATAATGAAAGACTAATTAGTTTCTTTACAAATATACAAGAAAAATGTTTTGCAGTTCCATACGTGTAACGGGATTTCGTTGATTTTAGTATAGCCTCATTTTTTTTTAATCGCGTAATATTAGTTTAACATAATACATTTGCATGCTTATGGATTGCATAAATCCCTTTCTGCTCCACCACTTCAGTGGTTCCTGAACTCTTAGCCCCTCCTCTGGATGACATGGGCGATCCGCATGGAGGCGCAGGCCGAAGTTCGGACGAAGATGGTACCAGCTCGTCCCTCTATCCGCCAACTGCATCACCCCCGTATGGCTTCCAGGAAGGGGCCTCGTTGTTACCCGTGTTTGCTGCCATTGGTGCCTTCGTGCCTATTGTATTTTGCCTGTGTCGGATCTGACCGGTAGTAGTGATCTTGAGCGATTCTAAACAAATTTCCTTCTGTAGAAGCTTTATTACTTCCAGCAGCTTGACTTAGTGAGCTTTGTTCAAGCTCACTAAGTCAAACTGTAATTTACCAAGCTTGTTTTCGTTTACAGTAAAGTGGCAGTTTTTCAAGCTGAAGTTTTGAGAAAAACAAAAATAGTATGGGAGTTCGCTCAGGCTAGGCTGAAACGAAAAAAAAATCCAAAACAGTATGTAAAGCGACAAATTGCCGTCATTAAAAATAATCCTGTCTTAATTAAGAAGGGTAAATGGTTGGTAGCGGACGGTGCCTACTGCCAGCAGGTTGCGAGCTTGTCTTACCCAATCGTGATGCTGTACAGAACTATTGCGATAGGTTCACATGAGATAGAATTTGATGAGGTGGGGCAAGCAATAGAACTAACGAAATTCGTCAAAAGATACGCGGTTATGTATGAACAAATCGCAAGTGTCTATATGTAAGCGATTGTATATAATTCCAATCACCGGTGTTGTACATTGAATAACAATGTCAAGAAACCAAAGTACCTCTTTTGAATTCTTTAAGTTGCATTGTGCAGTAGATCTTTAGGTGCAAGTATAACCAATTAACGTATTGAGTGAGCCACATCATTTGTTGATACGTATATTCACTGGGTTCTTTCCGGAAGTAGTGCGTCATAAGTAAGGCCGAAAAATAGCGGTTGAACCTTATGTTCAGCCTCAACCTTACAAGAGTTTCACCTGATCATTGTGATACTGTATATAAAAATATAAAGATCGTAATAAATAAACGATTTGTAAATATATTATGGAATTCGTTTCTAATAACCGAAAATATCACCGTCGGGTGTTTTCATGACAGAGTATGCCAATGTGGGTAGGACTCACTTAGTTCACACGTACGTCATGGACGCACACTGCCATGTACACACGTTTCTAAACGCGTGCTCGTAGTTCTGTGTAAACAGAGAAGACACGAGGTATACCGAAAGCTTTATTCACCTGTAAATCGCTATAGCAAATGGTACGTCGCTAAATGCTTAAACACAGTGCATGGGTCCGTAATTGAACGTATAATATAGATGTTTGTTGTACACTTATCCATTTCAAGCTATTCATGATTAGGCAATATGAAACGAGGCTCTGCCAAGATGTCGCCCTAGACATGCGTAGGGCCATGATGAAGGGCCACATGTCAATGCTTCAAACGAATTGAGCGACACCTTTCGTACCGTCCGACGTCCGAACATAATACAAATACACTCGTTCGTAGTAGAAAACCGATGACCGTTCTATTAATTTTCGATCCACTATGGTGATATTAAATGGCTGCCAATGCGAACTAACAGAATAGATTTGTACCCAGAACACTTGAGTACAACATAATTTTGCTGGGCAATTAGTGAAGATATAGTATATTTAATTTTACCCTCGTATACCGTTGGTTAATTTATTGTTGCTCATATAATCATTGACCATTGTTTGAAAACTTCGTTGTTTGAATTGATTGTTTAGAAAATCTTGTTGAAAGAGTATGATTTTCTTCTTTCACTCTCGGGGCTGTTTTTCTTGTCGGCTGACAGCTTCCGTTGTCGCTAATCTTCGTCGTCGTGCGGTTTTGATGCGGTCGTAAAGTCGACGAATGAGCTCGTCACCTCGTGTGCTGTTCAGCTGAGTATTCTTTAAGCTCAGTGATTTCAGCAAGTGGCGCCATCTTTATTGGCTTGTGAACACCGATCGTTAGCTCATACAGGTAACAACCGACCGTACCGCCAATGTGTGATACGAACATCGGAATCCACCAGAAATTACGATAACTAAAACGAGTACGTCAACATTAGTCTTATTGAGCAGCACCCTACAAGCGGCCTACATGATTATGTTGGACTTTCAGATCAGATGATAAATCATCTTTTAAACATACACGTATGAAAGGCTGCAGTGAGCGTTCGCTGGCACATATAGGGGGTAATTTTTATTTTTGATGACCTGCTGCAGCCTGACTTACATTTTGACCTGAATAGTCCACATTTGAAATGGACTTTTCCGTCACTCTATAACCATGATCAACAACCTTTAATTAGCCATTGGTGATACGTCTATAGTCTTTTGACGCAACGGTACTACTCTGTTAGAGGTTGGCTTAATTCTGGGGACAATGTCTGGAAATAAGCCCTCCGGCGCTTCATGTCAATGTTGACACTTTCGATTGTTACGCATAAAAATTACCTGAGTGCGTCTTCATATCCTATAAGGGTAGCGAAGACTCTTGGTGGGAAATCCCTGGCTGGGTTAATACCGGCCATGCAGTTGGACCCAACGCCCCAGCAGATTGCGATAACCAGAAGACCGATGAGGTAGCTGAAAAGCATGGGCAATTATTACCTTAAACTCAGCGTTTTTTTACGCTAGAAGTTGGTGTACTTCATAGTAACACAAAGATTTAATTATACGAATTTTTCGAATCATAAATAAATCACTGTACATGGATATAAACATAGACGAGCAGTTGAATCGGGGTTGTCTGTACACTCACCTGTGCAAGTAATTAGGAACTCCCCCATTGTCCTTGTCGATAATGACTAGTATTCCAAACATTAGCAAACCCGAACATATAACCTAAAACGATAGAGAAGAATCCACGCTACGGATTAGTACATCGACTACGTAAACTTAATAATTCGAGGTGCACCTGAGTTGTTACGTATAAATGTCGTCGGTCTAAATGCAACGCAGGATCTTCGTAAGGCATGTGTTACCTCCTTCCAAAAAAGGAAGCAGACCTGTTGAAAGTGAAAACTAATTTACGCGTATGTACATGTGTGTCTGTGTGTTTTCGCCATTGCGCCTGGGCGTGGCTGCAGACGCGTTTCTGTGTATGTGTATATTTGGCCAACTATGTCCCTGAGCAATATCTTTACACCGACTACTAAAAGCTAGCCCATCCTCTGACAAGTACTATCCATATCGAATGCTCTGTCTACTGTATTCGAATCCAATGTACTTTGACTTTTCCCAGGATGTTATAATGCGGTTTTTTCTCGCACTTCTAGTGAATGAAAATATCAATTGCGGTGATTTTTCACATGTGTTTTGTTCATATTGTAAAATACGGCCGTGCTGACTAGTCTCAAAGAGCTAAAAAAACACTTTGGACCTATCTGTTGCCCGGATAACGGTGTATGTTGAAACCTCATAACGCTATAATGAGAACATTGCGAGTGGCAATTCAGCTGGGCTTCTGGGTAGTTGAAAGGTCTGTCAAGTGACAGACACGGCCTTTCAAGGACAAGCTGGCCGACTTTTGTCGATGTCTTATGGCGAGTTGTATATTTACATCACGTTCTTTGCTTAGAGATTCTCAGACTTACTAAACTTTACAGCTAAAACCATAGCGCCCATTGAAACCGACTTATTTTGTCACTGTTTCCGACATTCGACCATTCAGCTATTCAGAAATTTACTCATCTTCCAACGAGAACTATTTGTTGTTGTTTTGATCGCCTTTATGGCGCTGAGCAACACCACAGACACTTGCGAAAACTCTTGCTTTTTCAAAACCATACCTATTTAATCTGCAGGTAATAGACGCTCCTCGGCGAAGTTAACAACTTATTACGTTAGTGTTAAGTTCAGAGAGAGTAGAATATTACGAAGAATAGCTATGATATACACTTTAAAGATATTCTGAAACAAACTGAAGAATGCAGTTTTGAGTGCACCGTTTAAATGACTCAAATTTTCCATGTTATTTTTGTTATAATACTGCTGTACGGCCGAATTTTCTAGTCGCCAAATACTTCGTTTAGAAATAATGTTAGTATCCTAGAATGGGTGTCATGATAACTATACTATAATAAGCGCTTTGAAAACGATCGCCGTTTACGATGTTTAATTCATGTTTACTCAGATGTCGGTTTGAAGTACATACGGTATCCAGTACACAAACTCCTATGGGCACGTTTGGATCAGGGAAGGTCGTCCAGAGAATGCCTGTTCCGTTAGGTCCGAGAATTGTTCGATTTCCTCCATCAAAGTGATTTAGTAGAGGTCGATTGTTTGCGTAAACAAGAGCACAGGCAGTAAATGAGCCTAAAATATCGACACGAGCAGCGAAGATCAGACTATCAATAAGGCATTAAATTTATACCTGCTAACACTTACTATAGGTTGAAACTTCAATTCACTTTTCGGCCTCTATTCTAGCCAGCGGTCCATACACACGTTGCTCGCACTAATTATCACAAAATACTAGCATTTTTACGGCTGTTTACAGGTTGACAGATCTTTCACAAACTACCAGACGTTAGGCAGGACTCCAACTGGAAGTTCCGCCATACATTTTCACCTAACTTAAGTCTATTTTCACTTGTTTCATCTAATTTTTCCACTGCGAACGTGTGCGTGGTCGACTGCTATGGTCGATGACCGTCTGTCTCAGGCGCTACATTGATGAAAGTTGTTTTTGTCATTTGGAAATGCTTATTACATGAAGATCTGTGCAGGATGTGACAAAATTACACCTTCGAACATGTAACACTCATTGTGCAACGGCTTGCGCTGCGAGGCTCCACAAAGACACACCATGATATGCGTCGATGAAGCGAAGGACACTAAACGAAGGCAGCGTCGATTATGGTACGCATTTTCGTTGTAATACTTTGCCATTTAGCGATTCTATCAAAGCGAGGCCTGTGTTTGTACATGCATTCTTTGAACTCGAGCGTTTTTAAAGTCACCTTTGGACCCACATCTGAGGTAAACTTCAAAGCGAAAGTCTAACCGGCCGGACGATACACGGGCCAGTCTGTCGTATTCGTCCGCGTGCCTACTTCTCCCCTCCATACCAGCGATCTTTCCGCATTTCCATCAACCAAACCTCCTCCTATACGACTACTACAAGTTGAAACACATCCACTACATCAGCTGCCATCGCTGTGACAATCATGCCGGACGCCATCTACTTCTGCTGACGTGGACCGCTTTACTGTAGACATCATCAGTGGCATCTATCTTCTTCTCAAATTTGTGCGCTGATCCTGCTCAAGCCATCAAGTACACTTCATTCATCCCAGACATTTCAGCCCGGCGAAGCATTCACGCGCACTTAGGCAGGTATTAGAGACCGACACGCTAATACGCCCATCTTGGCCACAAGAGTCAGCTTTCATTTTGCCTCATGATATCAGGACACAGTTCTTTTGACGACGTTTACCTTTCACTGTCTTCACTCACTGCAGCTATTCCGCAGCAGTGACTGCCATAAGGGCTCCTAGTCTTCCACTAGGCACCGTTCAGTCGGTCCGTCGTCACTTCGCCGTCGCTTTCGACAACTCCCGATACACTGCCTCTGGCATAATGCGATAATAATACATGCTGAAATTCTCCAACGGCCCAGTACAGATAACTGGGAACTCGATTCGTAATATCCAGCGACCCCCCCCCCCCCCCGAACTGACCTACTATCTGCACTGCGCAATTGTTCACCCACACCCTTGCCTTACGGTCATTTCAAATTTATCCAAGAGTATTGGCTTAATTAGACTACGTAGTCCTACTTCTTGCGATCACTACTGATACTTCTGAATTTGTAACAGCTTCCGACGCCAGCCGTGGTATTATAAAGAGCGTACTTGGCCCATATATATATATATATATATAGTGATCCTAAAATTTCTTGTCACTTGAAGATACTTTAATTGACTCTGCATATGTGACCTAAATAAAAAATAATAGAAACAACATTTTTTCGCTTTTTGTACCACATATCGCTCGAGTTCCGCTTGAAAACAAAGTACTAACGATGCGTAGATACGTACTTATAAACAAGAAATGGCCAGGCCGTTGGAATTTCTAGCATATATAATCTGAAATGATGTCCTATACATCTAATAGTTGAAAAAAAGGCTTTGGTTCTTTTTTTCTTTCACCTAGATATTGTCCAAGAAGGTAGTGAGGAACTTTCGTCCATGGGAATCGTCCCACAGAAGCAAAACCGGTTGTCACAATCGGATTGATGTGACCACCTGTAATAAAAAAAAACGACTTCAATTTAACATGAATCAAACACACATGTAATGATACAATGTAATATGATTTAAAAGCTAGAAAACAGAAATTACCGGTAATTTAAATGTTGCGTACATTGATTGTGTATTGATACGATGAGCGCTTGTATTGGTTTTAAAGCATTGTCTGAGCAGGCTACATAAAAGATGTAGCTTCACATGTATTCCTTTGGCATTTTATTTACTGATACCAAGCCCGTAAGTACCCGTATGCCCAGCAGAGGCATGCGTCTGCCTGCAGAGCTCGAACCAGCAACTGCCGTCGTAGCAAACACTGACGCGGTACAACTGCATAAATATACCATATGACAATGACTTACCGGAGTTGGAGGCTCCAGTGAGCAGACCGAGCATGATCGCGATGCCCCAACAAAAGACAGCGGCGAACACATCCTTCACTCCTTTCAGGACGAGATGGACCATGGCCGACTCACCGATCACCTAGAATAGATTCAATCACCTAATGAAGTAAACGGTGAAATGTCCAATATATTCTTAACTAAAACATCGAATTATGGATTGAAGCTTTTCTCGACTTCAGGGTAGATCCAAGGCGATCCAAATATATCCGGAAAGAGCTAACGGAAATCGTTACGCTTAATTAATGTCAGATCTATAAAGTGATTACTCAGCGTGTACCAATCATGTCTTTATTATAAGCTAATGCATGTTAGGTTAGCAAACTTGTGACACTGTAATCAATGGAAGTTGGAGGCAATAAAACTTAAGTGTTAGTCGAGTCATGTTTAACCGGAGGCCTTCCATCGATTTAAAAAATCACTATCAGCATTCTACTTAAGTTAGCAAAAAGTTCAAATTGATAACGAGTGATAAATTTTTAGTTTAGAAATATAGCTGTTACAGAAAGAATACTAAGTTGAGATTCTATTCAGATTCGCTTTAACAGCTGTGCTTCGTTCTTGAGAAATACAGACTTTTAGCGCTGCGTTTTACACCGTGACGTTATGTGACAGGATAGCAGGTTTGCAAACTTCACATAATTGGCCTTCGGACAATAGCAAAGATAAAATCAGCTAATGTAACAACTCGGTGGAGGATGCTTATGCAGCATGAAATGTTTTTTTTTTCTTTACAACGTCCCTGTTTACGGTTACGCACTCCCTTCAGAGTCGGTTCTATAATGTTACGCGAAAAGAAACAGCGTACGCAAGGTGATGCGTCCAATCACCTTTTATACAGCGATAGATAGTGATTGTATGATGTTTTCCTAGACCGTCAATAGTCGTTGTTTCGAATGGCGCTATCTGTAAACGCTCGGCAAACCCAGGAGCAGCTGAGTGCCATTTATTGTTTACAGTCCTCAGTTGTTATCTTGGTAACAACGGCCTTCGATTGACTGCTTATTGTCAGTGATGTTTTTGCTCGACCGCCGTCGATAGGCTCGGGCCAGGGCCCAACACAAGGCACACAAACCCATTCTGATTTTCATTTTATCCGAGGCTTTACAGCGAAAGGCGTGCTGGTGGCGCACAATAGGTGATACATATAGCGTCAAACGCAATTCAAACAACATAACCAGCGAGTTTGTTTGTATATTGAGGATCGTATTCGAAGGATTTCCTCTTGCTTAGGATGGCCAATACGAGGTAGACGGTGGCTGATTCAAACACGTAGGAGACCGTTCTCTCGTGTGTTTAAAGATTGCTAAGTTGCCAAAAATCTTCAAGTAGACCGTGGTGTTTTCGTCGAATGTTTTTTTCGTTCTTAGGACAAAGCACACACACTAATGTAAAGTGGTCCGAGGTCTTCCTGTCTAAAATCGAAGTTGTCCGAAAAGGAAGTCGACGACTTGCGGGTAGTCCGACGATTTGCGGGATTTGAGGGCCCAAGGGCCGTCTTCCATCACATCTTTAGAGCTTGCCTTATAGAAGTTCGACTATTCTGCGAGCGCGACACCAGCGTCTACTACGGACGAGTCCGCATTACGTTTCCTACCTCCTCCTACCCATCAAAGGGGAACACAGGGGTGATACGCATCACAGCTGGCGTTCATTCGCGATCGATACTGGGGGGGACATGAGAAGGAAAAAGAGATCTTGTGACACTCCTCGTCTCGCTAATGGTGCGCACCGACTTTGTTTCACCCGCGTTTATCTACTAGCGACAAAGAACAATAATTCTACTCCGATGACTCATCCAACCGAAGTAACTCACTATCGCAGGCCGTCTAATTTCATTCAATTCCGGAACTATAACCCATTCGGCCCATATATATATATACGTCTGACCCATTAATAATAAATTTAGAGAAAATAAATATTATATTTGTTTGTTAACCTGTTGAACGTTTACATTGAACGTTAGCCTGCGCAGAGAACTATTATATTATTGATAGGTTTAGAAAGAAGCAACACTGTCAAATAGAGAACGCAGAGTGAGTAGAACCTAACGATAAGGATCCGTCTAGAGGTATTTGCAGGTAAAAAGAAGCGCGTTATTTAAAGGTACATCTATATGACTATATTAAAGTCTCGCACTTCATACGCACGTGATGCTCGCGCGTATTATAGGAGGATCAAGCGTCATGGTAAAGCTTCTGAAAAGCATTATGAAGTCATCATACATTAAGTAAGCACAACCATTTGCTATTTTCCCCTGTGTCTACAACAAACGATGGCCGCATTTCACCAGAAAGAACGACCTATAGAAGATATAGCTAGTCTATACAATTTACTAATTTTATCCGTATGTTATTTCTATCCTTACATTTATTAGCATTTATTACCTAGGTTTACTGTCACTGCATGGCTTTTCTCAGATCTTGGGTGAGAAAACGGGGATGTAGCAGTACCCATAGCTATAATATGGCCGGGCCGAAATTGTAATTGAATCACTTCGTTAATCGCTTCGTCATTGCCTTATGCCGATAGTAATAACAACAGCAACAACAACAACAACAACAACAAAATGACGATTCGGTAAGAAAGATGAGAACAATTAGGCATGACGTTCAAAGTGACCTATCGTATAATCCTCTTTTTATACCTAGATGGACCTGTACGAGTTAAACTACTTCCTCGATGATGGCATCTTTCTAATGTTTTATTATCAACTTTTGGTAATAGTACAGCAAGTTTCAACAAGGAAATGAACATTCCTATATCTAAGACAGTGTGTTTCGTTATAGCCAGATATGTTTCTAGTTCCGGTAATATCCAGCTACGTTCATTCATATACTATATCTAATGTCCATTCCTTGCGATTCGGTCACTCCTGTTAACTTATGTTAGACAACAAATTGTAGTACGATGCTTCGCATCATTTTCAATATAGAACAATTTTGTGGAACTGTAGATACGGAGGGAATATGTTTATGACACTTCTCTCAATGATTACCACGCAAAGGGACAGCGGACAAACACCTGAATCGATCCTGAAATACAAATCCAACCACATTGTAGCAATGTATCCTGTTGGTTAGCCTTGTCCACTCGTAATTAACCATGTAATACCATAGCTTATATATAAATGAGCGGGGCGGCCGGCAATCTTCACGCTTGAGAAATTTCGTCATCATCAGCGAATATAGGATAATTCACCGTTTGACATATTGAACTGTTGTCTTCATATGCGCCGCTAGCAGATCATCAATTCGTATCGTTGACCGTTCATTCGTTCGTTCGCCTCAGCGTCTCCTCACAGAAAATCGATAGCCACTGTGGCAGCTGCAAGGTCATTCGTAGATCTCTCATTTGTACGAATGCAGGACTATGTCCGTACCCACTTATCTGTCTGTCTGCCAGCCAGCCTGCCTGCCAGACCGCGCTTTCGTTGTCGTCGGTGCTGCGGCGGTTCTAGCTTCGAAAAGGCAACAGCCGTACTGCCGCAATCTTCACGTAGCCGTCGCTGTTAGTTGGTGGATGTGCACGTCTTAGTCCATTCTTCAAAAAACATCGTTGTGATCATTGTCATCATCGCTGTAATGATGCGCGGTAAGATGTCCATTATACAGATCCTCTATGAGAAAAGCTTATGAATGCTAAATAAACAGGCGTTGGTCGTAAGAGCACGCTTTCCATCGAATAGAGCAAGCCGCCAAAACGGTGACGTTGAGGGAATTGCGCTAATGTGGTATATCTGCGGCCAGAAAAGGAAACGCAGCAAGCGGCCCTATGCAACGACCGAATAGACACTCAGTTTCTACCGCTATTACTAGGTGGCCATAATCCTCTGTTCAAATGATTATCTAAAATTGTTCGGCAAGAGGGTTTGCCGGTTGGGGTGGGTTAGCTAGATATGACTTCGAGTGCGTTAGTAATATAGATGTTCGGATCGAGATAGAGAGCCGAATAGTATAGGGAAAACTTGGGCAAGTACGGTTGTTTGCGTTAACGTTTGAAGTCACTGCGCGGTAGATCCGCATGAGATAGCCTAACGGCGCGATGACTGCCAGCCTCCGTCTGTGAGAAACGAGTAGCTAACAAGATCATAAGTTCGTTGATATTCAATAATTTTTTAAGGTTATCGCTATTACCAAAACACTTGTATTTATGGAACGGAGTGGCTTGATTTTTGCAGTAGCATGTAGCAGCACACACGTGCAATACCCGCTCACTTCTACGTATGAACACCTATCTTAACCATCCTTTATTGCCTATTTTATTGTTTTGCTTTCTTTGTGTGTTCACACAAATTGCCAACCGTTCTCAAGGCGACTGCCTAAAAACACGAAACTTCCTCCATATTACACTATAATTAATCGTTAAATTTCGCTGCTACTCTTAGGTACATAAGCGATGTTGGACCGATCTGCTTTTTTTACTATAGTACTTCCTCATCAAAGCCCATCGAGACGCAAAAAACAAAGATGTCGCTAGACTTCCCCGTCGTTAGAGAGGTAGAGACGATCCCCACGTATATTCATGTTTACAAACTCACAGATACAAACATAGACTCGCCTAGTAGTACGCAATGCGTATCCGAGTGGTTTTGGTCTGATTGTGTATCACGTTTTCTGATGTGTAGAAGTTTAATATGTTCGGGTAGGCGACGTCGATAACCGAAAGAGGCAGTGTTGGATGCATTGAACTTTGTGATGATTTCAAAGAGACTGTTCAGAGTTTTAGGGCTTCTATGGCGTTCGCTGCTTAAATGAAGCACAAAGCTTGTAGTAGATATACTGCTAACGTAAATTAGCGGCTCTACTCAACAGCTCTGAAGATGCTACGAACAGCGGATTACCAAGAAAAAAAGGTGCCAGATAAACTATCGAGCATGAAAATGAACGAAGAAAAGTGGTCTAAGCTCCTTCTTCACGGGGAAGACTATCATTTATGAATGGCAAGTGTAGCCAGACGCTCGTTTAATTACACTACGGTCTCTTAAATTATTTTTGTCTGGCATTAAGGACAGTCGATAACTGGTGATCTCGCCAAAGAGGCATGTGCCAGTAATCTCTTCGATGCGAAATCTCTTAACACTAAACAGTGTCTAAAGCTTACCCATAGCAACTTTGCATACTCATAAGATTTTTCTACTCTAACATTTAACTTGCATACACAGATACCAGGTCTAATTGTACTTAGCACACAATAACTAGCATAGGTCTGTACTGTAGTAGGGTCGGTTCAAAATCACCTATCGCCAAAAATGAAAAACCTTGAAGATGGGCTAATTATTTCCAGGTAATTCAACTATTCCAACTGGATTTTGTTGACGCCAGGATTCTTCGTTTATTTAATTGTTCAAAGCTCTAACTATTCAAGCTAAATAACAGAATAACTTATTTTTTAATAAACAGCTATTTTGTGTAACCACATACTGTCAGATTACGATGAGCTCCATGTATCAGAACAAAAGCCGTACCCTTTTCTTTTTACCTGGATTCATGTAAATTTGGTTAGACAACAACAAGGGCTATGGAAAGGTAAAACACACATTGAGGTAGTACGCAGAACATGCCCATATCACACAAAAATGTCTACTGTAGACAACTTCAGTTAATAGTTTGACCTACAGGAACTCTTCGAAATAGGCCAGTCAGGAGCGACTAGGGCTGTATCTTCAAAGCCACTCTTAGAGTATGTGTATATATAATGGTACTCCTATGCCTTACCGGTAGATAGAGACGTTTGGCTAGAATATATCTGATGCGACTTCATTTAGTTCGGGATACGACAAAAACTTGACCTCCTGTTATTAGAAATACAGGAATTATAAGAGAATAAAATGGGAAAAATATAATAGTAATGTAGTCCCAAAGCCACGCATAAACGCCTAAATTATCTGCACAAGATAGTAAGCATTGCCTTACGTATGTATAAACGGCGTCTCTTATAGATCAATACTCGAGCATTAATGCCTTCACAATATGTGTCTTCGATCAGCGTTGAGCCTTTGACACTTTCATTGGCCCACTGGTCGGTTCATAAGAAGTCCATTTAGATAATTTTGTTAACAAGAGCCGTCGCTTCACACTTTGATGCGTCTTCTTTTTCTCCTAAATGGTTCGTTTGGACGGTTACCGAGGTTAGTACTTTACGAATTACGGGTAGGGTACCGATAAAATGAGATCATTACTAAATTGATAGTATGATCGTCGAACGTCCGTTGCTTTTCCTTGACGCCGTTCTGTTTTTCCCAGTAATTACTGCGCTTCACTTTTTCTACCTCATTGCCTTTCAATATCTTCATTCTTCCTCAAACGACGTCGCCTCATTTTAGTGACCGGCGCGTATCTCCCTTTCCATTTAACACTTTAGCCTAAGCGACTAAAGTCTTTTAAGTCCGTCATACATATCGCATGCGCTCATAGCTGTTAGTGATACCGTTCGAACACTCTACCATTCTACCTGCGAATGAATTAAAAGCTCATAGTCAAATACTACATAAGTACACACCTTTATAAGTACTGCGAAGTAAGCGACATAAGTCCTTCTAACACAAGGCATGCGCGTTGTATGAGCTACTGCAAACCGGTTTCCGGTATGTAGCGGATATATGAGAACGACTGTCTATCAAGCTACCGAAGTATCAGCATGCTCAAACGTCTGCCCCTTTTCCCTATCTGTACACCATCAAACAAGGTCAAAAGTGTGCCTGCAGAAAGGTAAGGCTACCAACTCACCATTAGGATGAAGGTAGAGATGAATTCGGAAAGAAATTCCCGCACATACGGCTTCTCGATTCGGCAATAAGTTAAAAATGAATACATCTCGGGATCAAAACTTGTGGGCTTTCTGTTCGATCTTCGTCCCAATCTGCAATTAGAGACATTTCACAATGAGTTAACAGCACGCCCCGGGGGTACGGAACGGAGATATAAAGAGATACACACACAGATGGAGATAGAGCGCAAATTTAATCAAGCAAGGAAACTTGCCGTTTTTAGCACGCGGCCTTAATCTTGGGCCTAGCCCCAAAACCGAAATCAACAAACTACAGTTTAAGTTTTAGTCCATACCAAACAGAAGCAAAGCTTAGAGCTTCGTTGCATAAACATGGTTCTTAGCCAAACTTTATCTGATATCGGTGGGTCGAATATTGTTATCTCTTTGATCTGACACCTAATGTCGAAAATGAGTTATCGATTCTGACACAAGCTATTAAAACTCGCCTAGTTTTGGTAGTGCATAGAGAAGCAATAGGTACTGATATAGCGGTAGACTGATAGAGAAGCAATTTGTTTGGCGACTTGCTGGATTTTTATCTGTGACATATTTGTTTAGCTGTTAATTGGCAGTTGTGTTTTGTTTGATATAGAAAAAATATTTTGGTAAAACCTTTTTCTCAGCTAAACGCTTAACTCGAGATCTTAGCCAGCGCCAGGCTTAACGCCTCACCCTCTCTGCCTGCGGCGAAACGAAAGACTTGAACAGCTCGAAAAAGTCCGTGTATTAGTCAAACCAATATTGTCTCCCTGATAGGTGGTTACGGTAACGAATCAATATTAACTGGGGTGATCCTTCAAACAAGATAGTTGGTGTGTAATATCTGAATTCAAACATAACGAAACGTCTCTAACATTAAAGTGGTAACACTAAAGGTTGATACCCTTGCATAGAACTTGCTGAATACAGATCAGGATGGGCATCAGGCACCACTGATACTCGAAGGAGAACATCTCCTTACGTGCACATATAACGATAAATGGCAAATCTTGAGAGTTTACTGTAACTCTATTTGGACGTAATCTTCACGACAGTGACTATCCTTAAAATCGCTACCGCTTCGTACTTGTAAATTTTTCAGAGAAGATACCTTGCATCATTCTTTAAACGTCAAAAATTATCAGGACGCAGTAGAATCGATCAGCTGCAGACCTGTGACAATGTTAGTTACGCATGCCTATTCTAGTCAACCTAACGCGTGCTCTGCAAGATGTTTACGTCTTGAGGCTGGGTAATGAAGTTCCTATATGACAAAAGCTCAGGCAAGCTCCTATACTTATAGCATAGAACCTAAGATCTATTGAGCCCATTCCAAAGCCGGAAGTTGTGGGGCACTTCGGGCGCCGAAAAAATATTCTAGAACTAATGAAAATATGAGGCATGTGTGATTTCTGGTTACAGAGAATACAACAGCCCCCAAACGGGCTCGCTTGCAATGTCAAAATGACAAAATATATTTAGCATTTAACTAAGTATCGTTCTGCACTAGAAAATTAGGAATCAGTGAGCTGGCTTTAGTAGCTTTGTGTCTGTCGATGTAAGAGGAAATACAAGATTGCCCCCTGTTGGGTGCCTGTCATCTGCAGCAACGAAACACATAAATGTTCCACAGTAAATCAGCTAGTAATTGTGTGTTAATTTATTGTATATTTTAAGTAGCCCCGATCTATGTTTATTTTGAAAGCAAAAATAGACTCGTACTCTGTGTAAATTAAAATAAAACATACAGTGTGGCCACCTTTTTAGTTGTAGCAAAAAATAATAAAATTAACATATTTTTTTAGACAAGCGCACGGACGCTGTTTGCTCGTCAAGGAACTGAGTTATCTCCAGGAGAGCTTTTTACTTTTTTCCTTCGAATCTGGGCTAATAACTACAAACATATAAGATAAATTTATAGTACAACTTGCGTAATGGGTGTCTGCGTTCATCACGTCTTTGATAGCATCAACTTCATTGATGCTGACGGTTGTACTGAACTTTTTCGACAACAAATATGCATAACTGAAGGCTAAGCGATCCTGAATAAATTAAATAGATTATAGATAGCCAAGTTGCTCGGAAAATAAACGATGTTTCGAAAGTACAAAGGTCCGAGACGATAAGGAGAAAGAATAAATTGGCCTTGGATATGTACGAATGAGAGGAACGAAAGGTTGGTCTTTTATAAGAGTTACTGGCCAAAATATGAAATCTAAGAGTTAAATCTAGGTGTTGTTGTTATTAAAAAATTGCGACTCTTTTCTATAATACGGACAAGGTAGTTCAAAAGTCAATCCGATAACCGATTTAAGTTCATTAGGTAATCATTAAAAAGTTGTCTCTACGTTTTTAAGCAGCTTTAGTAATGAAGTAACTTAAGCAACATGATTACACTGTCCAGATGCTAACACAGCAAGAGGTTATTACGCGACCATGAAATGTATATCATAAGTATTTTGTACTTATAGCATGCTTGCCATAGATTAGCGCCCAGTGGCTGAATTAACATAGAACGATGCGTTGACAATTTGGTATGTGACCTGCACATAATAGCCGTGGTCGGAACTCGATAAGTTGCCTGCAGAGGAAAGTTGAAGGACTTTCGACCTCTTAACTTATTTATTCTATTTAAGAAATAACCAAAAAGTTAGTACTTTTGTCGCTGCACTGTCTTTGAATTGGTTTTTCTTCTAGAGCAGTTAGAAATGTTAACGAAGCTTTTGCTAATGTCAGCTTTCCGACGACGCACTGACTCTCTGTATAGCGCCATGCGACAGTGTCAGTTCGCTTAGAGGGTGCGCGTAGAATAGGGAAAAGCAGAAAACAAAACGAACAACGGCATATATAGCAATATAGTAAAAGATCGACGCTGTGAATGGATTATCTCACGTTAGCTGGAACCGAAGCAACAAAAAAGTTAGTGCTACCTTCATCACTACCGCTATAAGCAGCATACGATTTCAACGAAGGCGGAACCTCACGAGAACTGCTAACTGGTTAAAGTAGACGGTAATATGCCGAGGCATACACACATTCACTATTATCGTAGTTCAAAACAAGCTATTTGCCGGACTACCGCGATGCCTCTCTGACTGCTGTTGTAACGATAGACTTGTGAACCGCACAGTGTGTTACACTCTATTGTGTTACCACTCACTCACGCTCGGTTAAATGACCATTGCCAAATAGAGTGTGGAGAATGGGCGAAAATGCCCTCAACTCAACGGGAAGGGAAGGAAGAAACGAACGGCGGGCTTATGTCCTGATAAGACACCATGCGAGAGACTTCTCCAGATAACGACGCTAGAGATAGGTAATTGCGGTACACAAACACCATCCCTTCCCTCTTGTGCTTGCAGGTTCCGCATTACCATTTCAATATTATTACAGAGTCATTCCTCTGACTGATCCGCACACTCAGCATTTAGTGCATGGTAGATCGTGTGTACCAGGGTATATACAGAGATCTGTACGACTAGGACGAACTCAGAAAGATGTACTCAATGCGACGCCTATCTAGCGAATGGGACCACAAATCTACTTTGATACCGTTATAGGTAAATGGGCAAAGGCGTACCCGGTTTGGTGCACTGTCGTCTTATGCTTTAGAACTAAAAAAAAAAAAAAACATTTTTGAGTCACTTTTTCGTGCATTTGTTCTTATATTTGACGAAATCAAACTTATATGGTGGCCATAACAGCTACCTAAAACTGTTTCGGCATCCGACTTGTTAGATTAGGTAAGAATGTTCGAAATGCACATAAATATATGTCAAAAGTGGTAAAAAAAAAGTTATGGAGTACTCGAACATCTACTCTACTTTGAGCTTACTGATTAGGAAGCATGAAAGTATTTCGCATGTCGAAGTACAAAAGCAATGATTTTTTGGGAGATCATACGTTCTAGATTTTGGGAGCCTGCAATAGACAGGAACCTGGTGACGAAGTCAAACTCAATAGTAAAAGCAGATAAGTCCTCAGTGTTTCTGGTTGGGCTCGTTCATTACAGGGCATATTCGAATCGTCCCTCCTTTTTTACTGACCGGAAGTTCCTCACCGTAGAAGAATAAATTAAAAAGGACACCACCCATACAGCCATGCTTTGACGTTCCGTACTATTTTGCTTCAACTGAGAAGCAGCCACTTTACGACAAGGCGTGTATTTTAAGGACTAGTGATGTTAAGGGCTAAATTAACGTCGACTGTGTACTAGAGACGCATAATCTCTGTGATTCACCCCAGATCTGTTGCTTTATCCTTACCTTGCCCGATATTAGTTCGGATATCTACCAAAATCGGACCTGGCAACTAGTTTCACTCTGCCTTGTTGAGTTTATCTCATTGGCTATTGAACTGAAGCTAGCAGACCAGGCAACCTGATGTTTCCCACCAGCTTTTTCCCGGAAACGTTCAGAGTTTTTCAAAGGGGCACACTAATTTGTTTCACATGAATTGGTATGTTTCACTGACTCGGTAGAGTTAGTGATAGGCTAAGAAAATTTTAGATAAAAAAGCGTGATTTTTATTTTGTAAAAATTAGTTCTGTGCTATCAGCGCCTAACGGTGTGTAGTTTGCGCATGGTGCTTACGGTCTGGTTGACTGACTGTAACAACTGACAACGAATGAATCAATTTATTATGGTAAATATGTTTTTTTTTTAAATATATTTTTTATTGTCTCTCTTCGGTTTAACAAAGTCTCTGGCGGATGCCAGCTTTTAGTCAGCATTGTAAGTGGTAAATTCTTTTCAACGATGAGCTCGCCATATGAAAACTATCCATACGAATGCTTTCAGCCTTGAAAGCACTGAAGCAAAAACCCATTAATAATATCCCCGTGCGCCTGAGCGTGGTTAACTTCGCCGAAACGTAGGGTCGGGAGTCGCAAATGAAGATGGCGGAAAAATTAGTCTGAATAGGTATCCTTTCCATTTGTACAAGGTCATGATCGTAGCGTGAATTTAGTAGCCAATCGGAATTAGTAAAATTCGATAGAGCTGTAATTCATTGCTCAATTTATTGAGTTTGTTTTTAAATCGACTGCCCACGTACGCCTGGCAAGTTGAACGCTAGGATCTATAGATGAGGTACAAAGGCAATTGTTCGAGTCAACATGTTTTAGAAGTAATTTTAAAGGTTACATTGAGTATGTTTGGTTAGAATGTACAGGTTACGCAAACTCCGAGGACACTGAAGTTTCTTTTGAAAATGAAGCTTATTACTAGGAGCTAAATAAATATGCTTTTGTATCAACAGAGTAGTAAACCATAGAAAACAAAATTGATGTCCTAAAAACATTGTTTGCAGTTTTTAGTTGACGCTCCGCAAAGATGACCTTCTTTAAGGGTTAAGCTTTGGTGGAATTTAACCATTCTAATCGTTATATCTACGTTTTGCTATTTATAATCTAATGTTGGTCTAAGGACCCATGTATACCTTTTTTTGGTTAATTGTCTTTCAGAATCTGTCAGTTTAATATACCATAAATTCTGATAGTACAGTTATGACACTCTTTCACCAGAAAGAAGTCATGGGCATTAGAAGCTGCCCAATGATATAACTTCGAGACAATTGCCGGGCTATCAGATACTACTAAGGCAACGATCGATGTTACATACAGTATATCGTTTTTCCCCAGGACGATTGGCTTATTATTGTTATGTGCGTGAATTTATTATCTTTGGCATTACGATACTATCAGCGTTACATTGGTAGTCGTCTATGGGTACCGACTGAGGACTAGACGTTGCTGACGCCCTCATCGCGTCTGGGCAACAAAATTCCTCTACACTTTGTATGTAAAAAGAACTCTAGGCGTACCTGCCTGCAATGTAAACATGTTCCCATTGCGTCATCTCTATGTTGAGATACGAAATTAACAACGGCATTTAGATTGTATTCTATAATGTTATCTCAAGTCGAAAGCGCAAAAATATACTGGAATAAATAGGAGCCACTGAAGTGGACTAGGGATGCGGGACAGTATCTGTAACATGTGTGCAGCGCAAGAATAAACATACACGGACCTATATATATATGTTCTTGAATTAGAGCAACAAGTAAATATTAAGATCGTCACAATGAAAAGAGTGATCAGAAGCTAAACTCAGTAGCAGATATCTTCGTATTTGGGATACCGATTTTTCCCGCGAACAATTTGGTTTTTGGGCCCCAATTCAATCTTTAGATTACTTCTTTTGCAATCTTAGACAGCTTTTACGACCACACATCTTTCGTCTTGTATAATCGAAACTTGAAATAGATAATTAAAATTTTCGCTATTTCAAAGTGCTAATTGAATAGCTACAAGTCCCAGTATTTAGTTCGTAATATTAACTGTCGGAAACTTTGTTTCCTTTAGTTTCTTTGCTGTTGTTTCCGTAACTTGCATGTACTATTATAAGCACAAGATAAAGTACAAGGACCATCATTTGATCAGAAGTAGTTTCAAAATGACGCTAACAAAAACCAACTGCGGCTTGTATAGAACTTAGATTTTGTAATAACTATTTTTATGAATTTGTGAGCCCACATCGATAAGGTAGGCTTCTTTGGCATCCGTCTGTCTCAGTTTTTCGACGCGTTCTCGCATACCTCAGGATCTATCTATTTTTAAAATGGCGACACGGATATATTCTTTAAATATATAAATTGTTGTAGGACATCTTAGGATACATGATCTGGAAGGGCATTCGACGTCCCGAGGCTTGAACACTAGCCTTTCACCGAAGTGATTAGGAAGGGTAGACCATCCTGTTACAACGACATGTCTTGAAAGCCTTTTCCAGCCATTTGGGATACTTGACATATTCTCCGAGAGGCTTGCGACCCACATGCTGCACCAGATAGTGTTTTTTCTTGGTAACCCCTGGAGTTTTCTGTCCCACGTAGGCGGCTATTTTGTTTATTTACCCTACGATACATAGAAATGTGCCTCCTTTCTGAACACGATTTTCCTAAACTGCTGAAGAATAAAGGCTATAAAAAGAGGCAAGGAGGCTTACCTTTTTCGGTGTTGCGTTTAAGTAAAAGCTGAAACGTATAAAATTAGTTATTAAAAATATTTATGCAAATGTATTTTGCTATTTTTTGTTGGTGTCATCTTTAAGCTGTTCTCAGGCAGATAGCCGTCTCCGTAAGAAGGCAACAACGAGCTGGTCCACACCCTCATACGACATATCCCAATGAAAAGAACCATTATGCCGCCTTGAGTGAGCATTGGGATCGACATCTTGGTTGGCAAATGAACACTTCAAAAGCCATTCACTTGAATGAAATCATTTATCTCCAACAAACACCTCTGTCGATTCAACTGTCTTTATAAAATTGAACCATATAGTGATCGGTTAGTGGAAAAAGTGCGCTTTCATCAAGTAAATACATTTAAACTAATATGTGAGAAATTACATAGTGTAGTGGAATAGTTTTGTGAGCTATGCACTAGCGAGGTATTTCAAACCTTCACTTTTCAAGCTGCTTCAAACTCATGATTATTTGTCGGTCTCGCTCCATTAGAGCCCATGTAAAAATCTAGACTCAATCAAAATGTGACCACGTTTGCTGTAATCAGGGAAACTTACGTTAACGTACGAAATATTACTTTTACTATTAGTAGCACTTAGCAATGTCGCAAGGTCGACGCCCGTCAGAGTCTTGTAAATATGAATGGGTGGAGAACTATAGGCGAAATCGCGCTTCCGACTATTATATGGTACTTAGGTCCGGCTTTCTAGTCATCAGTCAATTAGGACGATAGGCAAACAATTTTAGGATCTGTCGTATAATTCTCATTGAGTATAGCAGGTAAAAACGTTGGACGGAGAATACGTTGGATGGCTTCGCTAACGGCATTGTTGATCGTCCTCGATTTCCACAGCTTTACAGGATAATTTATAGATTTCTGTTGCAGTAAACAATAATGTCCATGATGCACGTTGTGCCTTATGCGACCAGGTTGACCAATTAAATTCATCAGACAAAAATGTACTTTATATTGCTCTACTTTACTTTGATACTTTTGTACTCGTACTCGATTCTGAAGTTCGTTACTTTTTGACAGTCGGCTAATGAAGTACGTCTCAAGGGTTCAACTAGAACAATCTCTAGATTAGAACATTGTTTCCGTTCGAAGATTTCAGTTGTTTCACAAACGACAGACACAAAAGGAGTAAAAAGCGAGGCATAATAGAGTTCGCGTAAAGATTTTGAATGAGCTTCTTCGACAACAATAACACCTATATCTTTACGTGTATTCAAAAGCTGACTGAGGAGTAATGAAAACTATCGAAATCTAAAAAGTAGGACAAAACATTGTTTACGAAAAGTGGTTTTTCTGAAGGTAAGTTTCAACAGTGTAATTAAGGCTAGTTCCTAAATTATCTAATGCTAAATAAACGCTAATTAGCATTTGCCCTTTTATACAATCTATAGCATAAAAGGCAAATTTCGACTCTGCATACAACCATATAATTGCTGAACAACAGGCGCCGTCAGGCGACTCTACCAGGCTCTGCTGAATCAAGAATTTTTTGTTTTCTAAGTTAAAATTAAACTTACCCATTACGAAGAAGAGGCACATACGTACGCTTTTGCTCGTCGCGCCTGACCATTGCCGTCACCTTTTTATTTTGCCTCGCGCTTATTTACCTTTTTCTTCTAACTAGGTGAACTTCAACGGCACGTGGCAGGTAAAGGGGTGTAGTTTGGTCAGCTCGATGTTGCTTCTTTCGTGTTGGATATTGCAATACTGTAAGGAAAAGAGTAGCCGATTATCCTTGCCCGTCAAAGCTGACGGCTTCATTTTGCGGTCACCATAACCTTCTAACCGTTCTCGCAGATGTATCAACTGGCGTGGAACCTAACTAGAACCCCTAGGCCTTCAATCTGAACTGTGAGGGAAAGTCGAACGAAATCACTACATAAAATCAACAACGTAGACGATTCGATAATGCTGATGATAACAGTTAGGTCATTTATGGATTCATTGCATAGACTTCCGGTATATACGTATTTGTTCAGAAGAGACTACTCGAGATAGAGCCAGAAAGGGAGACGATAAGAGGGTGAAGCGAGACTCTAAAATCTTCAGTGGGTCAATCGGAGTGTGTTACAGTATTAATATTAGATAACTTACAAGTAACTTTGTAATGAAGTACATAATGCTTAGAATGCCGTATAGGCTGATGGAAATGTTAACGCAGCTCGGCGTGCCATAATGTATTCAGCAGCTCGTTCACCTATACAGTTCTGTTTAATGGGGGTAACTACTGAAAGTGAACATTTATCCGCGCGCACATAAAATCGGACTCATTCCATATACGCTCGATGGTAGACACGACTCCAGTCACTGGTGACGTTCAATTCATTATGGCCGTGCCTGGCTTGGATCAGCCAGAATAGCGCTTAGTGATGACCGAAGCTGCAAGGGGGTGTCCAAGCGGTGTTTACCTAGGGAGGAGGAAGCTCCTGTCTATAACAATAGCGGAAACGGCATCATTAAGATGGGCATTGAGATAATAGACACTGAGTTAACGTGTTCAACATCGATTGGAAGCTTTCTTCCATTCGATGTAACTTCTAGTGCGCTTAATCAACGATAGTGAAATGACGATTACGCAGCTTTTGTAATAACTTTGTTATTTCAATAGTGGAAAGATGACATGAAGACTATCTGGCACCGATAAAGATGGTTACATAATTGATTAAAAATGATATGAAAGGGTGGTCGCAGCATCTGATAGCGTTGTCTCAAGGTAATACATGTGTACCGTCGCTGAAATATCGAACGGACAACAAAATCAATGGAAGAAGACTTATAACAGAAGCTAAGTATTGATCGTTATTGAATATTAGATATTAACTACTACCTCAAATATCTTATATATATGCAAACCAGCGACGTCTCAAATGTTCACAGCAATATTATGATGATCGCCTATATAGATATGACGTCTTTTCCAATTACAAGTGTTTTTACCTATAGACAAATTCGTATAGTACGTACTGATAGAATTTTTATTTCATTAGACTAAAGTGTAAGCTTGCCCCTTTTCCTTTTGCAAGAAAAGCAGAACTCTGTGCCATCGATGAAGTAAAGCCATGGTCTTTCAATGACCGGCACGACTTAGCTGATTTGACCAGTCTCTCAAATACTTCGTGTGCGCGATCGGCGAAAACGAATATTTCTAACATTTTTTATCGTTGTTATTGCGAGCTCCACAACAACAAATAGTAAGGGCTCAATACACATCAACGAAACTGCTCTCTTGCTGAATGTTTTTTTTTTGTTTTTACAGGAAACACTATCACCCAAATAATATATTTTTTTAGGTTTACTTTAAACTTGGCTAATATGTCGATAGGTAATTGCATTTGCAGATGTGGTTGATATTTTTAAGTTTATTAAGTTCTAATTAAAGTAATGTGTATAGCTTCAGTGGTTCAGTATACCAGATGATTTGGTTATATACAGTTGCAACGACTTTGCCCCTTTAAATAAAACGAATGTGATTCCGGGTAATGATCATTAGAGTGTCGAGAAGTAATGAAGTTTAAATCTGTCGACAATTTTCCTACAGCCATAAGTCTCATGAGGATGACACACTGCAGAAATGATTAAGTGATGGAAAAGTATATGGAGATGAAATTTGTAGATCAGACCATTTATATATAATTCTATGTCAATCATACAGTAGCTTTGTTTGGCCTGATTTTTGGATGTGTTAAACCTCTGTTACAACTCTCTAATCATATACGTGTCCTTTATTTTCCGATGCTACCCAATAATTAGCCAAATTCCGCTAAAGTAGATAATATGTAAGGTCCAATTTACTGCTTCATAGCGCTTTTAGGTATTTTTTTTTTAAATGAAACGCTGTTGAATATGTGCTGCACTATTAGGATTGCGCCTTTCTTATTTAGTCCTAATGATTTAAGTTTCTATTTATGTTTCGCGCAATGTGTTTCCTTTCCGATACGTATTTGTACAAACGAAAGCGTCGTCCTCATGTGGATCCGCATTTTGCGAAAATACGCCAGGAAATTGATTAGCTCAGAATTAATCCCACGTTGCATAACAGTATATTCCGGACGAACGTCTATTCAGCTCGAAGAACGGACCTTTTTACATCATATCGTCATCCGAACAGTTTTATCAGTACACTTAGAAAGATCCAAATCAATTTGGTTGACTTTTTTGGGCCTCTGGAGTTTCATTGCAACAAGAGAACTGCGGATTTCATCCGGGCTTGTTTTGCTGGGGAAGCGCAGTTATGGTTTTTTATGCGTTCACGATCGTTCCTCTCAATAAGTTGCCTTACTGCAGTTTTTAATCCGGAAAACGATAAGTCACATCTATTTGTCTCACGAAAAGACTTAAGAAGCTAAAATGCCCCCGGATTGCCTTTTAAAGCTAGTGTTTCTACAGTTGGTCCTCCTCCTGGGGTTAGCATCCTTGCAACTTCATCAAACGCTTTCCTCGCAGCATTCGACTAAACAGCCTAATGTACGCTATCCCGCTTCACCCGCACCATTACCTTTTCGCAGTTATTTATCCAGTCTGTTCTCAATTTTATTCGCTTTATGCTTAGCCTGACATAGACTACAGCCTGGTTGCAGGTTTCCGTTGAATTTGTCCTGAGAACCTGCAGTCCTAACTGCAAAGCAGCTATTCCATTTTTTCCTCATCTAGCTAATGTATTACCCCGCTTCACTGACCTTGTTACATTGATGAGGTTATTACTATGTGCAAGCAGTCGATTCTTCTTAACATAATTTGTGGCTCCGTTACAGTTACCTTGTGGCAGTGACTTCGTAACCTTACCTTCCAGTGACCTTCTTATTTCTTCTTACTATCTCCTTTGTGTCAACAGACAAATAAAGGTTGACAAAATGTCGGATGTGACCGACGAAGGATAGAGTTGAGTAAGGCATCTACATTGCTGCAACGTTTCAACAAGACATCGGGAGGTGTCAGACTGGCTTTCCATGCACCGTCAGAGGTGAATTCCATTTCTATAAGCGTAGTAAAATTATTTTGGATTTATATTGAAGCCACCACCGGTCACTTTTTCAAGCAGCAAAATACATGTGAAGTCTTAATAGATTAATTGTGACAACGTAACGAATTTATTAGCACACTCTGGTAGGAAGGCGGAATCATTTCCGCGGACTGACCGATCACTGCCAATAGGGGGTGATCGCACCAGGTTGACGGGGTTGTTAATGTAAAGAGAGAAATTTAATAATAAGTCAAAAAAGCGTGATTACCGCAACTGGATAGTTCCAACAGGACGGCAGCAGGCTAACACGATCGGGTCTCAGGAGAGGTGCAATCAGATGCCGATAAAGACGTCGGCCTGCAATCGACACAATCCTACAACTTTCTCCTGTCTAACTATATTATGTGAGAAACTGTGTTTAAACTATACTAGAAAATAGTAACTACTAGGCTTTATGTCTATTGATATCATAGGCCGATACTCAGCCATTGTTCTGGTGTATGCAGCTATTGTTTCAGCTCTATGCAGGTAAAATAAAATGTTTTTAATAGCAAAATAGCCGCAATGCGAAGGCCACCGACTCGTCTAATAATTGCTAAATAAGGCCTGATTTACTTTTTGACTTTGTGCCTGAAAACAATGCTTATTCGGGCTTTCCTTTCAAAATAAAGTCAAGTAATTTAACTAGTGAATTCTGGACTAAGTTTCCTGTTACGGTATGATATGGAAGCCTTTCTGCAAGGCGTCTTCAACTAACCTCAGCGGTTACAAGTGAGCCGATTTCGAAACTGAAACACTCAAGATGTAGAAGGTAAATACTCCGGTCTTCTGGAAACTTGTAAATGAAAAGTAAGTTCTTTCCGGAAGGAGTGGCTTCAAAAGAAAAACATATTCTAGCCACAAAAGTCAACGCTCGGTAATAGAGTAGATTTTGCACCTCGAATGCCACAATGTCATGGAAATTCATCGAAGCTTGGCTGAATCAACTTACAAGAAAGCTTTGGACGAATGTACAGTATATGGGACTGGATGTGCAAAACTTTATTCAACAGATAAACCGGCTTGGATCATTCGGTCCCCATAAACGAAACATAATCCAGTCACCACAACTAGCCAATAAGTGTGACAGTGTCGTGTGGGTTCGGACATAAAGTGATTATAATACTTTCAAATGGGGCTTTCCGTGCTCTAAAACGCCTCGAAACGCCATGAATATGGGAACGTGAATAATAAGTATATGACCGCCCGAAGGCTGCCAGAGCGCTAAGGCAAACGCGTAGAAAATAAGGGAGAGTACCTAAAATACGTATTAGAAGATCATAATCCTGATTTAGCTAGTTCAACCTCAAAGTTCGCCGGACCCGCTTGTAGTAGCCTAATCCTATAGCTTAGGCCACTCGCTAAAAAGCAGCAATGTAATATTAGTTTTTTCCCGTAATGACAAAACAATTTTCCAATTGGAACAGATAATTGTGTACGGAAATTTATTGATTCATGTTCCATGCATCATTTCATCGCGTTAGAATCTACTAGTGTTCTATTCATACTTATAATAACTTACGACAGCGGTCGCTATATGATAGGGTTTACTTAAAACTAGACTTATATATATATATATATATACATGCATACTATGATTACAAGTGCATTTTTTATAGACGCATTTTCATTGTCTTGGGCATTTCCATTACTAAGCAGAAATTACCATAGAATCTCGATAATTCTATAAATAGATGAATTCTTATTCAATAATAACTTTCACGCTACAGTCAATATGATTTCCATAGTTCCCTAATTTCATGTAGCTTTCACTGCAATTGTATGGGTAGGACGTTTGGAAGGATCAGCGAACCTTAGTTCGGCATGTTTAATAGGAACTAATAGCGCCTTTAAAGAGAAGGTTCAATCCGACAACGTAAGATTGAATTTTTTTCGTCTTTTTTTTTCTTGTGAAGTGTTTCCTTGTTTTCTCTTTGGTGGGTTCAAAACCCATTTAAGACAAAACTTTACCCTTAATTCTCTCTACTTTTATTTTTCACGGGTTTTTGGATGTAACCAAGCGTTGTGTACAGGCTGGACGAGAAGACTGAACGCTGGTGAACTTCTTCCTTAACTAAAACCAATATTTTTTAGCCGCTAACCTACTTTCGTTCTACCTGCCAAGCGACTTAGTCGTGATCTTGCGCTAATACAAGCATTTCGTATGGGTGTTCGAC